CTATCAATTAATAACACGAAAAGTACTTCATATTAGGGGTGTAATTCGGCCGGGTAGGGTTGGGTTGTGCCAAAAAATTGAGCCAACCCGCTCAATGCGGGTTGAGAAAACTTTAGGCCGCAACACTCTCTTAAGCCTACAAACCCGCAACCTGTCAGGTGACCTCGGGCAGGGTCGGGTTACTCGGGTTGGTGAAAACCTATTTTAATCTATGACTCCATACCTCTTTTAACAGTCCAAAAGCATAAAATCCATAAACAGTCCATAAGCATTAATATAACATTAAACATACTTCTTAACAGTCAATAAAGTCCAGAAATAAAATTAACAATACGTCAAATAAATAGTTCATATAGAGATAGTCCAGCAAAATAGGAAATTTAGTCCACTCCAAACAGTTTAATCCAAAATAATAGCACATATATTCCCAACTTGCCCCTCATTTGTTGCAACAGAATTTGACAAATCATGAAAAGAAAACATAATAAAAAAAGTCATCAGAATCAAGTTTAGGACAACAAAATAAACAACAAGGAGATGAAATAAAGTTAAAAAAGAAAAAGTAAAACGTAAAAATATTACCCGACTCAATATCTTCGTATTCATTAAACTCTTCCATGTCAATAAAGTTGATGTACTCACGACTACGCAGCCAATTTTATATACAAATCAATGCCTCCACCATCTTGGGGCTCAATGAACTCCTAAAGGGATCGAGGATGCGGCCTCTGGTACTAAAAGCAGATTCTGAGGCTACCGTTGAAATAGGAATGGCAAGAATGTCTCTTGCAACTAGTGAGAGAACCTTGTAATTAGTTACATTATTCTTCCACCAATCTAAAACATCAAAATTTGACCGAGTTGGATCCTCCATAGGGTTTGTCAAGTATCTGTCCACATCATTTTTGTACTCATTCACATTCTTCTCCTCTATTTTCCAAAGAAATGAGCTCCACAAACACCATATTCCTTCTGCTTCCGTTTTTGCCACCGTTGTACTTGTTGTTGCCGCCTCCCCACTACTTTCATTAGCCACAGATTCACCATTGTCCCCACTATAAACCTCATATAGCCGGTACATAGTATCATTCACATTCTTTGCTAATGTTTCAGAAGTGCAAGAATCACACACTATAAAGAAATAATATGTCAAATAATCCATTTTGTACCTAGAATCAAGGTACAACAGCCATAAAGAGAAGACAATTTATATTCTCAACATTCCCCCAATACTTGTCATCCTTCATTTTCATACTCACAGCCATGGATGAAAGCATTGAATCCTCTTGTTTGCTTAATTCAAATAGCTGGTTTTGCATCTCACAAAGCTCATGAAAGTAAGAATTTGAAGTGACATTCAAAGTGGTACTAAACTTCAAAGTTATATCATAAAAAGTCTTCAGAAGTTTCACAAACACTTTAACATTCTCCCAATCATCATCAAGTAGCAGGCCAATCTTCCGTTCCCACCCCCCCCCCTCCCCCCCCTCCTCTCCCCCCCCCCCCCCCCCTCCCTCATCTCCCCAAAAATAAGACACGAACTTGTTATCTTCCTCTTCATATCTTTCAAAAGCTTTTTGAAACTTAATGGCTGCATCTAGCATCATATAAGTGGAGTTCCATCTAGTAGGGACATCTAGGCATACGAGACCTTTGTATTCAATTTTCTCTCGCTCCACACATGACTTGAATTTTAGCAACCTAACCGGAGAAGACTTCACATACCTCACAGCGTTACGAATGGCAGCTATGGAATTATGTAGGTCTTTTAAACCTTCATTGACAATCAAGTTCACTATATGGGCACAACACCTAACATGTAGAAATTCCCCACCTAAAATAACCTCTTTCCACCCCTTAATCTTCCTTCACTATTTGAGGAGACATTATCAACAGTCATAGTGAAGACTCTCTCAATACCCCAAGCATGCAAACACGACTCAATGACTTTACCAACACTCTCTCCCTTGTGGCTTGAAATTTGACAAAAGTTTATAATCCTTTTTTGTAAAGTCCACTCACTATCAACGTAGTGTGCAGTTAGACACAAATAATTAATATTTTGCAAGGATGTCCAACAATCAGTTGTTAGGCAAATCCTTTGACTGCCCTTACTAAATTCAGCCCTCAGTTTTTTCCTCTCTTCCAAAAAAAGTTAGTAAATGTCATTGGCAATCGTAACACGTGAGGGGATAGAGAACCTAGGCTGCGTCACTTGATAAAAATTCTTAAATCCTTCACCCTCAACAAACCTAAATGAAAAGCTCATCTACAATCACAATTTTTGCTAACGCTTTTATACAATGGTCCTTGTTAAAGCCTATAGCAACAAGATTACTGCCAGTTTCAGTGCTTGTTTGGAAACTCATAATTTTTTACTTTTTGTCTTGGATCATATATGGGTATTTCCTGCATTACTTTTCTATGTGAACCTTCATACTACTGGTGCCATGTCTCCTACTATCACATGCATATGTTGCCCCACAATAGATACACTTACACCTAGGCTCATTTGGATCTTCACCCTCTATGATTTTGAAATGATCCTAAACAGGAGACTTTTTTTGTGACTTCTTCCTCTTTTTACTGTCTCCCTCCTCTTTTTCATTTTCAATTTTAGTGCCCAAATTAGGTACAGGGGTAGGGCTGGGTGTGGGAGTGGGCAAGGTAATGGGCTCTTTAGGCACAGAGACAGAGGTTGGATTTTTGGTCTGGCATTAGTCACTTTCTGTTTCAACAGAGGACTTGCAGGTGCTTTCAGAAGTTTGTGTCGGGTGGATGATAAATTTTTCCGTGTAGCACACAAATTAGCCTAAAAACAGATAACATATGATTGAGACTAAGCGTAGAGATTAACCTAAAATCAATTCATCTCAGTTCTCATGAAAAACATAATATTTCCCAGTTCTCAGGTATCACAAAACAAACAGAAAACAAATCAAACTAACCTTTATGTTTCAGCCTTGCCTTCAATGAAGATTTTAGTCTTTTCTTCACTCTTCTTCCTCGGCTGGCCTGGAAATAATAACGAGTACCAATATTATTAAAGCTCAATATTATCAAAAATAAGATTTTAGAAACAAAAACATAAACCTTATTTGATTTGTAATCAATATAATCATATATATCCATGAACCCGCCAGAAACCTTAAAGAACAAAAAAAAAAGACTTCAATTCCAACCAAATAACCATATCCATGAAACAATTCCAACCAAATAACAGAGCACCATTCTAAAAAAATTACTTCTTGCAAACATATATATCCATACACACACATATATATACCTACAAACACAAACATAGTCCCCTGAAATGTCAACTCACTCTAAAACAAAAAAGAAAAAAAAAAAAACAAGAATCAATTTGTTATTGTTTTCCATAATCATACTCAAGGAAATGCAATCAAAGTTTTGTATCTCTATCTCTCTCTCTACTTTTGCAATTGTCTCCAAACTCAACCACATCCTTCCCTTTTTTTCCCTCAATCTCCCACCCATGAACCCGCCAGCGCCGCCGCCCCAAGATCAGGAAACCCCCCACCAATACCGCGCAAGATCAAGAAACCCCCAAGATAAGGAAATACATAGCAGAGCAAAGAAATGAATTCTTTTTCCTAAAATCCATCAATCAAGAGAATAATCCGGTGATAACACACAAAAAAAAGCTAGAACAAACATTAACTCACATGTTGATAGAATCGAATAAAGAAAAAAACACTTACGGTGAAAACAGAAGCAAAATGGAGAGAAAGGCAACCAGAGGAAAAAATTTCCGTGAAAACATAACCAAATTAGTTTAAACGAAGATCAGTTAAGTACTTACAGCGGTGATACTCTTGGATCTGTTGAGCTCGAACCGGCAATCCCAAAATCAGGAATACCGCGCAAGATTAGGAAACCCCCAAGATCAAGAAATACAGAGCAGAGCAAAGAAATGAATTCTTTTTCCTAAAATCCATCAATCAAGAGAATAATCCGGTGATAACACATAGAATAAAGTTGGAACAAACATTAACCCACATGTTGATAGAATCGAATAAAGAAAAAAAACACTTACGGTGAAAACATAAGCAAAATGGAGAGAAAGGCAACCAAAGCAAAAAATTTCCATGAAAACATAACCAAATCAGTTTAAACAAAGATCAATCGAGTACTTACAACGGCGATACTCTTGGATATGTTGAGCTCGAACCGGCAATCCCAAAATTAGGAAATGCGTGACTGAGGGACAGAAGGAGGCGAGATCGAGAGAATGCGTGACTGAGGGTGATGGAGGCGAGATCGAGAGTGCGCGACTGAGGGTGAGGGGGAAGCGAGATGGAGGCGGAGCTGTGGAGGCGAGATGGAGGCGCAGGCGAGATGTAGGCGGAGGCGAGATCGAGGCGACTCAGGCGAGGAAGGATTTAGGAGGCTTGGGAAGTGAGGGAGGCTTGAAGTGAACTGGAGGCTGTGACTTGTGAGGAAGGATTTGGATTAGGGTTACAAACTTTTACAACTTCATTCAGAAACGGGCGGGTCGGGGCAACTCGGGTAAAATGTTGCCCGCCCCGCGGCCTAACCCGCACATTGCGGGTTGGGCCTATTTGAATCTAATTTTTTTTTTAAATATATAACCCTATATTTTCGGGTCGGGTCGGACGGGTTAGTCAGGGTTCGGGCTCAATTCTTACACCCCTACTTCATATTCCTTTTTGTTTTTGTCTTCATCTATTTGTCCATCAAAGTGTAACAATTACTTCATAGTTTCTCCATTTGTTTTATTTTTATATGTAGGAAAAGTTAAAAGTTATCCTATAATGTTAATTTTCAAGAGAGAGGTTTTATAGAACGACATCACACATAATTTTGCTCACATTTTTTCTCCTGAGAAAAAAATAATAATAAGTGAAAATCTTCATTAAAAAAAAAAAAAAAAAAAAAAAAAAAAACCTTCCTTTTATTGTTCAGTTCCCAAGCGTACGCCTAAACGACGACAATGTTAACGTCGTAGATGGGTTCTACACTCGAGCGTCTATTTCCCCATAGAAAACTTTCCCCTTCGACGTCGAATTGGCGGCAAATCCAAATCCAAAAGAAACGAAAGTTTCGATTTTTCATTTCAGTACTAGGCTCTAGGGTGCCCAGAGCTTTCCTTCCGAGCAACAATGGAGGTTTCGACCTCCTCGGCTTTCAATTTGGGGATTTTGGACACTCTCACCGACGACTCAATCCAAGAAATCTCCGGCAGCTACGACGGCTTCTGCGCCGCCACGGAGGCGCTTCTCAACGGCGCCGGCGACCTCTCCGTTGGCTCGGAGTTCGTCGCCCACGTCCACGCCCTCTGCAAACACGGCCTCGACTCTCTCGTCAGAGACCACTTCCTTCGTGCTCTCGAGGTAACCGATTTCGCCGTTGTTCTCTCCATGATCTTTGTACCAATGGAAGAAATATGAATTTCAAGGGTTTTTCTATTCATCGCAGGAAACTTTTCAGAGAAATGGCGCTTTCAAATTTTGGAGGCATTTCGATCCTTATCGCGGTAGTTCCGAACTCCAACTGAAAAACTCCAATGTAATGAGCTTGAAAGTCTCCTTTTTCTTCTTCTTCTTCTTCTTCTTTTCCTGTTTTGCTGATGCGAGAAAATTTTTCGAAGCCAGATTGGGGAAGACGAAGTTCAGGAAGTACTGTGCAAGGCATTGGAAGAGATATCAACGGAAAAGCAATATCAAGAGAAGTGCTTGTTAATGCTGGTTCACGCTTTACAGTCTTTCAAGGACAATTCATCAGATGGAAGCCATAATTCGCATTCAGAGAGAGTTCACCTCTTTTCTAAGTATCAATTACTAGTGTCTTCGGTTCTAATGGCTTCTCTTCCTCGTCATTTTCCTGGTATGTGAATATCTTGTTTGTTACCCATATAGATGTTTCTTGTTTTTCATACAATTTTTTTTTTTTGATAGTTAGTTTGTTTTCTTAGAGGTGCTACATTGGTACTTTAAGGAGAGCTTGGAGCAATTAAGTACTATCATGGCGGGAGAATTTGATGGGGATTATGATGATGATGAAAGTGAAATTCAAGATAAGGATGACATGGCTTTAGATGAAAGGAGCAAAGGATCCTATGGGGCTGGTAAAATGGAAATTGATGAATCCTCTATACAAGGCAGGTTCTCTGAGAATAACAAGTTGGTGAAAAATATTGGGAAGGTTGTTCGCGATCTTAGGAATCTTGGTTTTACATCCATGACTGAAGATGCCTATGCTTCTGCCATATTTTTGCTTCTTAAGGTGAAAATTTGCTTCCGTTTTGCACTATGTCATCTAGCTTATCTTGTTTTACTTCCCACCTCTGCTCTATATCTTCTGTTTCCGATGTTTTCATGACCAAATATTTTGTACTGTGCTAAATTTGGCTTGCCCCGTGTTATATTTAATCCTGGGTCACCTCTAATTTGTTGTTCGCATGGCAGGCCAAAGTACATGATCTTGCTGGTGATGATTACAGGAGTTCGGTCTTGGAGTCCATTAAAGGGTGGATACAGGTTGTTTTCTTAGCCTAAATATTGTCTTGATCCAAGTGTCTTTCTTACCTACTTTCCATGTAGGTCTACATATAAGCATATTTTAGGATATTTGTAGTATTTTTTTCGTTGCACTTTCTTTTCCCCGTAATATTTGTTTATTGTCTTGAATATACATCATGCAGGCCGTGCCTCTTCAGTTCTTGCATGCCCTTCTTGCTTATCTTGGTGAGTCCACCAGTTATGAGGATGTCTCATCCGGCCTCAAGTCACCTTTGGCTTCACACCCTTCATCATTTTATCCTGGGTCTGAGACGCCATCTGAAGGACTTGTAAGATGGCAATTGCGACTAGAATATTTTGCCTATGAAACTCTGCAAGATTTAAGAATAGCCAAGCTATTTGAGATTATTGTGGACTACCCTGACAGGTAAATTTACCTCTTTTACTCTTGATTTGTTGAATGGACTATGGACTGAGGTTCTTATTGTGTGATTTAATGTTTGTGCTAAAAATTATGGGCTGTATCCTTTTATTTCACCAGTCAGGGCTACTAGTGCACGGCAAAGTGGACTTGTTAATACCCATCTTACGCAATATTATACTCCATTGAATAGTTGAAACATGTTAACACTTTGATTAGATAGCTTTGAATGTTCCTTACTCATTCCTCTCTTGGACTATGCAGTTTGCCCGTGATTGAAGATTTAAAACAGTGTCTTGAGTACACTGGACAGCATTCCAAGCTGGTTGAGTCATTTATCACTGCACTACGATATCGCTTACTTACTGCAGGTGCCTCAACCAATGACATATTACATCAATATGTTTCGACTATTAAGGCACTCAAGACAATGGATCCAGCAGGTGTTTTCCTTGAAGCAGTTGGTGAACCAATAAGAGATTATCTAAGAGGAAGGAAAGACACTATAAAATGTATTGTGACCATGCTTACAGATGGTAGTGGTGGGAATTCAAATATTTCTGGAAATACTGGGGACAGCCTTCTTGAAGAATTAAATAGAGATGAAGAAAGTCAGGAAAACACTGGTCTTGATGATGATTTTAACACCGATGACAAGCAAGCATGGATAAATGCCATACGGTGTGTACAATAACATGGCAGGAATGAAATATGGCTTTATGCAAGTTATAAGAAAGCTTTTGTACTGATACGCCTGAAATGGTAAAACATTTATATCTTTCTGTTTCTATGCCCCATATCTGATGCATTTCTCTTCATGATTTCTGCCCTTTCAGCTGGGAGCCTGACCCCGTAGAAGCTGACCCTTTGAAGGGTAGCAGGAACCGAAGGAAGGTTGACATACTTGGGATGATTGTTGGCATAATTGGTTCCAAAGATCAACTTGTTAACGAATATCGTGTCATGCTGGCTGAAAAACTTCTCAACAAGTCTGATTATGACATAGACACAGAATTGCGCACTCTTGAACTCCTCAAGGCAGGTGCTTTATTTATATAAGTTTGTGGCTTTTATTTGAAGTCTGTTAGTTGAAGCTGAGTTTCTTTATGTATAGCGTGTATTTAAATTCTCCACTTTATTAATTAAGTTCTTGCTTTCATGATCATTCTTATGTCTTCATTATTTGCAGATACATTTTGGAGAGAGCAGCATGCAGAAATGTGAAATTATGCTAAACGATTTAATCGGTTCCAAGAGGACAAACAGCAACATTAAAGCAACCATAAATCAATTATCTCAAACCGGTAGCTCTTTTGGTATTATCATTTTAGTAATTAAAAACAGATTTGGGTGGTTGGGGCTATTGTTTCACACTTTTTTTTCTGCTGGACGTATTCTTAGGCTCTGAGCTGGGGGATACTGCGTTGCCCATGGATATTCTTGATGCTACAATTCTATCTTCTAATTTCTGGCCTCCAATCCAGGTAATTATTGCCAATAGTATCAATTGTATATGTACTTCGTATTAACACACTGATCTTTAGACCTAGCTGCCAAAGATTCATTTCAAGCACCTAATCTGTTTCTTTTACATGCATAGCTACTACAGAATTTATGCTATGCAAAGCCCTATCATGATATAATATTAGATTCTATATCCGCATCTTCCATTGTATTGATAGTTGGGATAGAACTTTCATTGGCATTTTTTTACAGTGTGTTGCTTTTGTAATAGATACGTGGCTATTGGTCATGTAGTTCAAATGATTCTACAAGTATCTATACTTAGGTTCCACCCATTTAAAATGGCAAGCACCAGGAATTATGGACCACTATAATTGCTCTTTGATTTAATTGTACATATCTCAATCAAACTCTCTATTGTCATTAACGCAACTTTCTAATCTCCGTGACAATTACTAGTTGCATTTTGATTAACTTGGAGAAGATTTTCAGGACGAGTCCCTTGTTATACCTCAGCCTGTTGACCAGCTGCTCTCTGATTATGCAAAGAGATTTAATGAAATCAAGACCCCTCGTAAGCTACTGTGGAAGAAAAATCTTGGTGCAGTCAAGGTTTGGTGCTTCAGTACCATGTACTTTGAGTGCTTGCCGATGTCAAATGTTTTTAGCTGTTGGTCTACATTTTCTTTCTGAACCCACTCAAATAACGTAAAAATTTTGTTTTGATTGTGCTGATTTAGTTGGAATTGCAATTTGAAGATAGAGAGATGCAGTTTACAGTGGCTCCAGTGCATGCAGCTATAATTATGAAATTTCAAGATGAGGCTAGGTAGGTAAATTGAGGAGTTTCTTCATACCTTATATGTTAGTGACTTTAACACGGCACTACTTGTGTCTTTGCTTTCAGTTGGACCTCTAAAAATCTTGCAACTGCAATTGGGGTTCCAGTAGATGTGCTTAACCGCAGGATAAATTTCTGGATAAGCAAGGTATCTTTGATAAACTCATCCTACCATGTTTCATAGTTTACCTGGTTCTTGTTTCTGTGCGCGTGACTAGAGACATCCAATTTAACCTACCATTTTGTCGGGTTTTTTTTTCCCCTTTCTTTCGTGATTGAGCATTTCATGTTTGATACTAGCTGGATTAAAGGCAGCAAACCGCATTTTTTACTAGCTATCAGAAACAGTTAATTTTACTGGATAGTAAATTATATACTTAGCTATAATTGTTCTATTACGTTCAAACTTGTTATTTGTCGAACTGTGAATTCGAGTGAAAAACTGATGCATCAATCTCTTTGTACACTGAAGGGAGTTCTTGCAGAATCAATTAGAGAAGACAACAATCATGTCTTTACCCTGATGGAAGGTATGGTTGACTCAAGTAAGAATGTTGGTAACAGTGGGAATTGTGAAGAACTAGTAGCTGATGATGAGGGAGAGAAATCTGTGGCTTCTGTGGAAGATCAACTTCGGAAAGAAATGACTGTGTATGAGGTACGTGAAATTTATGTCAATTACTAATTTGCCAATAAAATTGATTTTTGCATACTGAGTTAATGTGAATCAGCTTCCTCAAGAAAAGAAAAGAAGACACTTGAAAGTATCTCAAAAAAACTGTTTCCCTCTTGTCAATTTTATTAACCAAATCACTTTTGACAAGCATCGGGTAAATGCAATCAAACATCAAACTTGATAATGAACATTTCTATGTATTTCTATGCATCTTTGTTGCAGAAATTTATCATGGGGATGCTCACAAATTTCGGAAACATGGCATTGGATCGAATCCATAATACCCTTAAGGTAAGGTGGACGGTGCCCTTCACTTTTCATTCAAGTCGAATAACATGGATAGTTATTAACTTGCAAAAAACTAAACTGTATTCAAATGGATTGTTCAACAAAATGCTGCAGATGTTCTGTGTAGCCGATCCGTCTTATGACAAAAGTCTCCAACAGTTGCAAAGCTTCTTATCTGGACTAGTTGCTGAAGAGAAGCTAGAACTGAGAGATGGAATGTACTCTCTAAAGAAGTAATAGACTGATATGTCTCATATCCTTCCAGTCAGAAATAAAGAGGCGAGATTATCCGTTAAAGAGTTTGAAGATGGGCTTTTGAGGCTAGGGTGTTGACGTGTTGTTGAAAATTTGCTAATTATGGGGCAGTAATTAAAATGTCAAATTCTAATCATCTCAAGGGAGGTTTTTCCGTGTATCATGCAGTGGAATGAACGTATCCAACCTTGTAATGGTAGTGAATATTCAAAAATTCAATTTTCCTAGTACATATATTCTTCATCTATTAGATGATAATGTAACGTATGCGGCCATTAATGCGTAATTATTCTACATTGCCATATCTTTACAAGATAGAGGTCTTCATATTTATTGGGGCTTGAAATTACTGCAAATATCCTGCTCTAATAATAACCGATCAATTCATTTACTAAGCCAACAAAAAGAACCAATCAATTCTTTCTTTTTTTTTCTTCTTTTTTTTTTTTTGAGGAACCCAATAAGCAATTTTCCATAAAAAAAAAAGAGGCTATCGTAATTCGTAAGATTTACCCTATGCAGTCTTGTAAGGGATTGAATGACACATCATAAACCATCAAAACACAATAATATCTCTCAAGTTTTTTTTTTCTTTTTTTCCTTATTTCAAGACAAGTACGATATTAGGAAAATACAGTTTATAAATTACGGAAAAAAAAAATGTTGACATTTTTTCTTGCAAAGCCAAGCAAACGCACACAACAAAGAATTCAGCTTTTCTTATAATACAAATTTCCCCGAGATAGCCGCTAGTACCGTTACGAAAGTAGAGAAAAAAAAAGCCATGAAATATGACCGTTACACAGGAAATTTAAATATGTGCTGAAACCTCGTCAATCAAATGGAAGCCAAAACTCATTACTTCACTCCCAATTCTTTGAATCTTCACAGCCAAAACCCAAAAGATGATGTGAGAAAAGAGAAACAATCAAGAACCGCAAAGTTTTGCATTTCCCAATGGCGGAACCGGAAGAGCTAATGCAACAGCTGAGATCCAAAGCCACAGAGCTCTTGCTCAGAGAAGAATACAAGGAATCCATAAACGCCTATTCACACTTCATAACTCTCTGCCAAGATCAACTCCACAAACACCATGAAAAACCCGACCCAAACAATGTCCTCAAGCTCCAGAAATCCCTCTGTTTAGCCCTCTCTAACCGGGCCGAAGCCCGGTGCAGGCTCCGAGAATTCGGCGCAGCCTTGGAGGACTGCGACGAAGCGTTGAAAATCGAGAGTACCCATTTCAAGACTCTTCTCTGCAAAGGGAAGATCTTGATGAACCTGAACAGGTACTCCATGGCCTTGGACTGCTTCAGAACTGCCCACCTGGATCCCCAGGTTTGTAATGGGGGCTCCGAAAGCCTCAATGGGTACTTGGAAAGATGCAAGAAGATGGAGTTCTTGTCGAGAACCGGGGCTTTCGATCTCTCCGATTGGGTTCTCAGTAGGTTCCACGGCAAGCCGCCTGAGCTTGCCGAGTACGTTGGGCAGGTTCAGATAAGGAGATCGGAGATCAGCGGGCGAGGACTGTTCGCGGCGAAGAACATCGATGCGGGGACTTTGCTTTTTGTGAGCAAGGCAATTGCCATTGAGAGGAGTATTTTGGGAGGTGAAGAATTGGGAGAGAATGCCCAATTGAATATGTGGAAGAATTTCATTGATGAAGTTACCAATTTAGCGAGTAAGTGTCCTAGAACCCATGATTTGCTTGCTACATTGTGTTCGGGTGAAGGTGAAAATGATCTTGAGATTCCTGATATGAGCTTATTTAGGTCTGAGAGTGAGAGTAGTTGTGGCATCTCAGTAGAGAAGCTTGATAGGAAGAGGATTTTAAGCATCTTGGATGTGAATTCTCTAGTGGAAAATGCAGTTGCAGCCACGGTTTTGGGGAAGAACAGTGAGTATTATGGAATTGGTTTGTGGGTTTTGGCTTGTTTTATCAACCATTCATGTGTTCCCAATGCAAGGCGTTTGCATGTTGGTGACTATGTATTAGTCCATGCTTCTAGAGATGTTAAGGCTGGTGAGGAGATCACATTTGCATACTTTGACGTGCTTTCTCCACTGGGAGAGCGCAAGGAGATGTCAAGGAGGTGGGGTTTTGGTTGCGGCTGCAAGAGGTGCGAGTTCGAGGAGGGAATTTTTTCGAGGCAAGAAGTGAGAGAGATTGAGATAGGTCTTGAGCGAGGCATGGATACTGGTGGCACGGTTTTTAGGTTGGAGGAAGGGATGAGGAGATGGATGGTGAGAGGCAAAGAGAAGGGCTATTTGAGGGCATCGTTTTGGGCTGCATTTAGTGAAGCTTATGGCTCGGAAAAGTCGGTGAAAAAGTGGAGCCGGCGAATTCCTCCTGTGGATTCTGTGCTGGACAGCATCATGGAAGCAGTGGGGAGCGACGAGAGGGTATTGAAGATCTTGTTGGACAGAATGAAAAAGAGTGGTGGTAGTGGCGGCGTAGTGGAGATGGAGAAAGCTCTGAAACTGGGAAGAGGACTGTATGGAAAAGCAATGAAGAAGCAAGCTATGAAGACTCTTGTAGATCTTGTTCATGAACATGCTATTAACTAAATAGCCAAAAGTTTTCTACCACTTGTTGAACACAACTTTCTGAATTAAATAGTAATTTACTTTCTCGCAGCCTAGGCAATATTAGTTCATTGTCCTTGTTTTTGTTAACTCCAATATTCTTTGAAGAATCTCTTGATGGTTCATTTTTAAAGAATCTGTACTTAATAGTTTATTTTTGTTGACCAGTTTAAAATGGGGCTGACAAAAACCAAGTGAAGGAAACGCAATCACATCATCTCACACAATACACATTCAGATAAGAAGATAGCATCCAGAAATTAATTAACCAAAAAATAAATAGCAGATTCAAATCGTCAAATTAATTAAGCAAAAATTAATAGCAGATTCAAATCCATCTTCCACATCCAGCACTATGTAATAAATTTCTTGAAAAACCTCTACTATAAATCCAAGAAAAAAAAGAAAAAAAAAGATATATATCCAGGAGCATAGAACTCGCTCTAAAAATTCTTAAAATCTTATATGTCGGACATTCGGACTAGCTTGTTGTAGAGAATGCGGTCATCCCTTCCTGTGTTGCTCTCTAACAATGCACTCTGCACAAGTTCCTGATGCAGTGAAACAAAAATTAGCAGGAGCGTTAACGAAAAGTAGAGATGGGATGACAAAACAAGTCTGAATTTAACGCAACAGATACTCACTTTGACATCCCTGTGGGAGAGGAATTTCCCCAAGTTGTGGATAATCAATCTCAAATCTTCAACCTGGAAAAAAGAAAGACAAATAACGTCTTACCACTCGGTTGTGACCCCAAAAATCAGTTATTATACACGAAAAGTCGACTTTTACCCTAATGTAGCCAACTCGATTCCGGTCAAAAAACCTGAAAGCCTGCACCAGGTAATAAAAGTTGCATTAGTGCACCACTTAAAAAAATAACACAATCAGCGTACAAGTGAAGCAGGAAAATACCTGTAATAGTTCCTTGTCGACAGGCGCCTCCTTAGTAGCAGGAGCACCTTTTTCAGAAGTATCTGCCTTTGCCTCAATTTTTTCGCCTGTATTTGTATCAGATTTTGTTGTTGTCTCTGCAGCTCCCGTGTCAGGTTGTCCTTTAACTGACTTGTCAGCTTCATCCTTCTCATTTCCAGGTTCAGCGTTCAAGTTTGTTTCTTTTGTGTCATTTTGGACAGAGGAATCATCTTCTTCAGGATTAACGTCATCCATTTCTTCATCTTCTTCTGGATCTTCTTCTGGGTCTTCCTCTGGGTCTTCTTCTGGGTCTTCCTCTGGGTCTTCATCTTCATCTGTTTCATTCTCCATCTTCACCTCATCAACAGGATCAACAGATTTATGCTCCTCTGCTATGTTTTCATTACCTTTCTTGTCATCAGGCTGACCAGCATTCAATGGTTCAGATATCTTGTCAGATTCATTTTTCACAGAGGGGGGTTCGTCTGTCTTCAGGCGCTTAGTTGGTGATGATTTCTCATTTTCCTTCCCACTCTTTTCTTCCCTGCGCCTCTTTTGATGAGATCTCTTTCTCACGAATTTTATGCGCAATTTCTACAAGACAAGACAACATACTATGACACATTAACAAGCAAATGATTTAAATAAATACACACATGTATGATTTAAATCTCTCACACAAACCTGGAGAAAAGTCAAAAGACGATAACCCATCTGATACTGAAACATTTCACAAAGCGTCTCGGCAAAGAGTGAAAACTGTAAAAAGAGTAAACAGACGATAAGCTCTTCACATGACATTGTCTACGGAAATACTTTACCAAAGCATACTGCACACATACAAAATTGATAGATATCCAAGAAAGCAAACCTCAAATATTGATTCTTCAACATCCTTGTCGGTATAATCCAAGAGGGACTCCAGTGTAAGTGATGATGATCGCAGCTGAAGAAAATGAGCGCACATTAGGCAAGGAAATAGGAATGAAAATAAGATAATAACGTTGAAAGATAAAATGCTATCACTTTCAGGCTACAAGGCACCTACTTTAGAATCTTTGTTCCATTTAGGTTGTAGTATAAATCCCGGGTGTCGAGGAGGTTCTTCAGACTTTCTCTTTTCTTTCAGTTCTTTACTTGGTTTGCTTCTCGACTCATCTTTTACGTTTTTGCCCTTTTTGTCCTTTTCATCTTTAACTTTTTCACCCTCCTTTGATTTCCCCTTCTTGCTATCATTGACATCCTTTTGAGATACCTTTTGCTTGTCAGGATCAACCTCTTCTCTAGTACCAGAGCTACTCCTCTCACCCGTTACCTTTACCTCTTTCTTCTCTGCTTTTTCATCCTTCACTTCTACTGAACTAGAAGTTACCACATTATCTTGTTTCTCTTTACCTTGTGCCGCCGATGACTCTGTTTTAGAAGTTGCTTTCTTTTCAATTTTTTTGACTTCAGTTGGCTTGCTTTCGGCATCTACTTTCTTCTCACTTTTGTTTACTTCAGTTGGCTTGTTTTCTACATCTGCAATTTGCTTCCCTGAATTTGGTGTTAAATCTACTTCCTTAACAACCTTTTTCTCATTGCTATCAGCCTCTTTCTGAATGTCAGGAACCCCATCATTGGATTCAACACTAGCAATCTTTCTTTTAGGTACTCTCTTGATAATCTTCTTCTTCACAGTTGTTTTCACACCGGAATCTTGCACAGTTGCACCACTGCTTGGATCTGAATTGTCCTTTGATTTGTCCGCAGAGATGTCAATTTCCTTTTCAACTTTCTTCTCAATTTGTGCATCTTTATCTTCATTTGTGTTGGCCTTTACTACCTTCTTTGTAACCTTTTTCCTCATAAAAGTCTTGACCCCACTTGACCCAGCTGAAGACGGATCCTGCTGACCTGAACTTTCTAAATTTGCATTATTCTCTTCTTTTTCATTTCCATTTCCATTCTGTTGTTTACTTGCAGTATCACCAGCTGTCTTACCAACAACTTTCTGTTTGACTATCCTTTTTATGATTTTCTTCTTCCCAGCCTTAACGTCGCTGGTTGTCTGAGAAACAGCAGTTGCCCCCTCCTCTTTTTTATCCACATTCACACCTTCCTCTGTACCTTTTGTCTGATCTGGTTTCTCAGGTTGGTCATCTGCATCACCAGTTGCTTCTGATACATTTCCCTTTAACTCCTTGCCATCTTTTTCCTTTTTCTCAACAACTTTGGCTTTTCCAGAGGATGTAGAATCTTTCTTTTTTTCTTCTTTGTCCGTTTTAACATCTTTTGATGAATCCGTACCTTTATCTAAATAATCACCCGGGAAAAAAAATCATTAAGACAGAATTAAACCCCGCAATTACCAAGAACCTGTATACACGTACACACACATCGAACAACACAAGAAAGTAGTTTTGCTACTCCATTACCTTTTATCCCTTCCTTTCCCTTTTCCTTCTCCTTCTCCTTCTCCTTCTGCTTCTCCTTCTCCTTCTCCTTCTGCTTCTGCTTCTCCTTCTCCTTCAATTTCTGAAAAAGAAAAAAGAAATAAGATACTCAGCCAAAAAAAAAAAACCAAAAAGTTACCCCCACAACTAGAGCACGCAATGATTTCTTCTTACAATCAATCTAAGCTTAAAGGAACAGAAAGGAATTGCTATATCAACTGATTGAAAAGAAGGGGGAAAAAGATTAAAAGGGTAAAAAGAAGACCTCTTTTCGCAAAGAAAGTTGACGCTCCCTTTCAGCAACAGCCTTCTGGTATGCAAGCCACTGTTCACGCCATGCATCCAATGCAGGGAGACATTCAGACAAATCTGGAACAAACAGTACAGTAATCTCTTTATGGCTGAACAGTCCATCCTCGCCAATTCGATCATAGTGTATCTGTAAATGCAAGGAGAAACTTAAAACTTTTTCAAACCACAGGCAATAAATTACAGGGGAAAAAAAAAAGAAGAGTGAGGGGGCAACCTCCAGAAAACGATTCCAATGGCGGCAATTCTGTAGATCAAGTTGAGCAATCTCTTTTGCATACCTATCAAGTAAAACTTGCTCACATCACTTGAGAAAGCATAATTCTTTATGTAATATAGAAGATGGAGAGAGAGGGTGAGAAATAACCTTTGGGCAGTTTGAATTAATGAGGTATCATCAACTGATGGGTCACCACCATCCACAGCACGCCACGGGCCACCGATTGCCATTAACGAATGATCCTTTTTAAGAACAGCAAACCGCAATATGTTGTATATATGGGGTATCCGATCATCATAAATTTTTTCAGATGAGAGATCCTCCAGATAACTCTTGCTAATTCCACTCATCAAAATAACCTGACCAGGGGACAAAAGCAGAAAATTTAATCCAGCAGAAAACTTCCAGGACAATACTAGTGTTCTCTTCAGTAGAATACATTAGAATGGAAAAAAATGCTAAAACAAAGACGGTGCTTCTACCAACTAGTCCCAACAAGAAAATCAAAATATTCTTCTTGCGGAAGGGTAACAGTAAGGGCTACTAAAATTCATGCATGAATTTATTACGTAAAAAAGGAAGGTGCTACACCAATATGGATCTCTTCTCGCATATCAAAGAGCAAGTTCAAATGTTTAACGTGCTAGGAACAAAGCATAAATTTCCTCAATGTTTGAAATGTCAAATTGTCAATAATAGAATGTAATAATGATCATGAAGCTCACTCTGATGCAAGCTTATGTGAAGGAGCTTTGGTTCATCATTTTAAAAATCAAGTAATGAAGATTTTTTTAAAGTACAGAAACAGAAGTCTCTAACCTTTGCATTCCAAACTGTGTTTCTATTCCCTGATTTTGCAGGTTCTTCAGCCAAAAGGGTAGCAGAATCCTTTTTCGCCATAGCCGCACCCTCTTCTTCAACAAAACCATGCTCAAAACTGTTCACGACACCAAAATACTCAACAACTACTATTACTTTCTTCTTCTCATAATAAAATACACAAAATGCTAAACTTCTGTTTCAAGAAGCTGAAGCAAAACGTTGACGGAAAAGATTCCATATATATTTGTGTTTAAACTACTATGATGAATTAAAATCTGTTTTTCCTCCTTAATTTTCACAAGAGGTCAAACCAATTATATAATCAAATCCAAACCCCCAATCCGATTGGAGAAAACATTAATGTAGATTCCATATCTTGGTTCAAAATAAAAACTTTCAGAAACCAAGCAACAGAGTTTTTTACAAGCAAGTTACCTGACAGGAGTATGGATTGAAAGTTTAAGGTTCTCCTTCGACCAGTATACAACAGCCTATAACAATTTTAAAAAAAAAATAAGTTAGATCACGGTAATCAGGTGAACATAAAACACTAAAGATGGACCTTGGAGAACTCGGGGGATATGAAGAGCCTTGGGTATCGCTTGTCTATGCATAGATAATCCCTCTCTACATCGACCAAACTGGACGTGTAAACCTGCAATAGGCAGCATAATTAGCCAAGGCAATGACATGATCAAACACACTTTAATTTAAAGTAAAATGATAGGAACGTGCATTAAACAACATCATGAAAATTTCTAATAATTGCATTTTATGTTGCGGGAGTTTACTCATATGTCCAGGAACCATCCACCGTCAGCCAAGAAGCAGGAAATGTTGCACAGTGCCACTACTTAAGTTTAGGTTTCCGAACATGTCATGAAACCCCAAACAACAAGGAGGGGAAAAAAGAAGGCGGCAGCATAACGAAGGAACAAGATAAAGAACACACAGATGGGAAAAAGAAGAGATCCGAAGTTAGGAGAGGAAGCAAGAAAATACATGGAGCCAAGGTCAAGCACAAGCAAAAACCAATAATAATAACAGGAATTTTTAGATTCAGGTTTTTATATTAAAAAAAAGAAGAAGAAGAAGAAGAAGTAAGGATAAGGGGGGGAAGGCTGCAAGAACTGACAAGTAGAAGGATTCAACTCCATATAATAATAGAAGCGGCCAGGGTTATAGAAGGAAGTCAAGACTGAAATCCGAGGCCAATGAACAGACTGGAAAACATAACTCCTGATCCTCAAGAGGTTAAAAGAAGATGCAACAGAAGGCAGACGTACGCATTTTCATCATCATTTTAACAACTAAGCTTTTAATATTTTCTTTTTTACCTTGCAGACATATTCTCTCCTTTTTTCTTTAACAGGGGAACGACGCCTTCAGGATAACAGAACACCAAGTTAGTGACAAATGGCCGCAACATGCAAGCAGATATATTCAGAACTAGTCGATCCAAAATGAAACAAGAAGATCCACCTATGCAAAGCTTCTGGCTGTGGGGAATCACGTCGTAAAGGTCTTCCCTCCCTTAACAAAGACGAGCCTCGGCGATCCCTAGAAACTCTTGGTAGACTTCTTTCACGCTTGTTGTCAAGTCCACGTTTGCGTTCCCGCTCTCTCTCCTTTTCCCGCCGCTCCAAAATGCGTTCCCTTTCACGCTCTCTTTCTCTTTCCCGTTCTCGTTCTCGATCTCGTTCACGTTCGCGTTCCTTCTCCCTTTCTCTGTCTCTTTCTCTATTCCGCAATCGCTCGCGACGGCGTTCCTCCTCCCTTAGTTCGAACTCCCGAAGGTAACTAGCCCTATCACCCTTTTGTTCATCAACCCTCGAATGACCACCGCGAGGCAACACGCTTCCCAGATATTCTGGCTCGAGTGATGAAACATGGAGCCCTTTCCCTGTGGCGTAATCCCTACCGGGAGGGAGACTCACTCCATAACCAGGATTTGAAGAACTTTGTGCATACACAAGATCATCAACATTTCGCCGTGGAGCTGCCCCTAATATTGATGGGGCATGTTGTGCGTTGTACGATGAAGCGCTAAGGAGTGATAAACTACGAGAATCAGCATCCCCTCTTCCAAACGAGATGAGATCTTGGGTGGTATGACGACTCGCAGCAGATCTTGCTGCAAGATAATCGCTTTCTCTGCCAGAAATGTGTTGCTACTCAGTTCTAACAGAAACATATTACCATCTAAATAGCTGTCCACAGACTATCACCAGTAAGAATAGGCCAACTAAAAAGGCAGGAAGGATGTTGGGTGTTCATTTAATAGGACACATATCTAACTATGGTTAATCACGAATGTCCATCAAGTTCAAAATAAGTTACATTTGAAACAATATCGAAGAAAATTACCTGGAATTCCCATCAAGAGTAGCAGATTGCAATGACTGTGCCTTCAGTAGCTGTTCTTGCCGAAGCAGCACCGCCTGATCAATTCTGTCATAAATCTCACTCTGTCACAAGAGATAAAGGAAGGAAAATTATAATCAATCGAGGACCAAGCACACTGCAGGGAAAGATGGCATGATGAAAGAAAGCAAGAGGAAAAAGAATGATGGAAGTGACACATTTAGTAATTCACAAAAATTGATACAAACAAAATACCTGATGCTGATGAGCAAAACTAACAGAATCGGCATATCGTCCAGTGGGTTCACTTTGCAAGTCCCGTCCCAGATAAGAGCTCTGACGTTCACCGTATTGCCTTCTATCTATCGCAGGAAAGTCAGAATTCTTCTCCGCGTATAATTGACCCGCTTTGTGACCATACCCGTGGCTTGAAGATGGGACATATTCACCAGATGAGAATTTTGGAGAATCTGTTATAGCTGACGCATAGCCCGCGCGACCTTCAAGAGCAGATGAACCAGCTTTGACAGTTACTGCAGGAACCTGCTTAAACAATATCCCATCGTTCTTATAAATATAGCAATCATATGTTAATCCTAAAAGGAAATCATCCAAACATCTAACAATACTTAAGGTTTAAAACGCATTCGATACAGCAAAGAATCACATATTGATCTTGAACGGAAATCCTCTGACCTGAGAGACACCGGACAAAGCAGCCGAGCCATACACAGAACTGTATTGTCCACCATAATGAGCCGTGGCCGCAGAATGAGCTCTAAACCCACCAGCCTCAGCTTCTTGAGAACCACTTAACATCGAAGAATGGCGCGAAGCCATGGAAAGCTGAGAACCACCGTCAGGCCCTCCAACAGTACTTCCAGAATAAGCCGATCCGAGCTATAAACATTTTAACCGAAAAAAAAAACAACTCTTTGATACATTACCAATTTTTGGGAATCTAATAGCAAATGTAAGCAAATTAACCAACCAGATTAACTACTTTAATGAAAAATAACAGAAAAATCATAAAAATGAAGCCTTTTTTAAGTTGGTCCCCAACTAGCCCCCGAGATTTGAATAAACGGAAAATTGACAATACAAATTTTAATGAAAATCCCTAAAGTAATATCATCTGAAAAGAATCAAGTAATGAAACTCCTTCCAATACGGTCAATTTAAAGAACCCGGCAAAGATTAAGGAAGAAAATGTAAATTGCGAAAATTAATAAGAAAAGGAGATTACGTTCTGGCCATAAGCAGATTGCCCAGCATAAGATTGCTGTCCGTACGCATTACTTCCTCTGGAGGAATACATGTTCTTTTCGTATACGCGCTAAAAATAGTGATAATTAATCTGCAAGTCAAACAAAAAAAAAACAAATATAACAAAAAAAAAGGAAATTTTGAGATAAAAATAAGAGATTTTCCGTTCGCGAAAGCTTTGCGTTTTAATCGTACATGACATATATGAACACAAATTACAAAATATATAGAACAGAAAGAGACATTCTTTGAATCAATCTTACAATAAAGAAGACGAAACGTGAAGGTGGAGCCTTTTTTGTCGTTAGCCAGAAGAAAAACCCTAACTCAGAAAAGAAGAAGAAGAAGTCTCTGGAGGGACTCACGAAGGGAGATACCACAGTCCACAAAATCCTTTCCTTTGTAATGCATCGTAGGTTTTCGCGGGCTAAGAGATTCATTTTGGGCCTTCTGGGCTTCATAAAAAATGGACCATAGGTGTCAAATAGCCCACTTTCGGCCCAAACATGATTGGTTTAAATTAGGCTTTATATAGTGGACGTTAGTTATTCCCTTGTATCGGGAAAGGGAAGAGAAAATCGTTGAATTTATTCTTGTGTAAGGGTTAGTAATTTTATTTATTATTTTTTATTAACCTCATAGCATATATAGTTAATTGCTGATTAATTCGAATTAATTGTCATCACCAAGTACCCTTTTAATGAGGATAAAAAGACGAAGTTAACCTCATAGCATATATAGTTAATCACTGATTAATTTGAGTTAATTGTCATCACCACCAAGTACCCTTTTAATGAAGATTTTTAACCATCCTTTTATCTCTAATATGTAGTAGTGTTACATAATAAAAGGAGTGAAGTGGTATTTTAATGAAAATAGGTGTTTTGAATATTGTCCTGAGAACGAAAACTCAAAAGTAGACAACTTTAACCTCAATATTCACTAATCATCAAACTTTGAATTAGAACTATATTCGTTAAGCTATTTATATGAACAAAACTCGGAGTGGCATGGTGATATATTTAAAACTATAAAGTATTTTGTATGATTTTTGAGAAAAATAGGATATTATTATGTACAAATACCAAAATGATAAAAATCCTTTACAATATGCATATATATAATATATATCGATAATCTATAATCTAGAAATATATATATATATATATATAAAGGAGAATGACGTTAAAGAAGTTTTGTACTTCAACCATTAATCCAATGGTTACCATAAATCTACTCTTTTTATATTTTAACTACAATGGTCTGAAAATATTGAGAGTTCATGCAGTTCTCTTGTTCTTTAGAATGCCCATCCTCCAAGAGTAATGTAGAAAGAGAATACCTATGTGGTCGAAAATCGAAATTGTCTGTTAGTGGGGAATACCACGGTGGCCAGAACTAACTTACCGTAAGTTCAAAGAAAGATTTTTATCTTTGTTGAAGATTACGAAAAGAAATTCATATGTATTTTTCCAACGGCCCAATCTATCTCTGAAGTTTCGGAGCCAACGCCGGCAAACACCCGTGAAAGATCGTGTAAAACCACTAAAAACCTCTTACTTTCACGGTCAAGATATGACGATATGTCGTCTTTTTTAAATTCATGAAGTCCATCGCCTTATAAATTGTTTCACTGTGAGATTAAGAATGAAATTTTTGTGGCCGACGTGCCGGATCTCTTGCAATAAAGTTTTAGCTAGAAGAGATTTATATATGCTAAAAGAATCTTGAAACAATTTTATTAAAATTATAAAAGAAATCTAACTATTTAAGAATTATGACCAATATTATAAAAAGTTCTTGGCTGTGGTGTTTTGGTATTAATGGAAACAAAACATTTTTACAAATGATTTTTTTAAAAGCTTATTTCGAGATTTTCAATTAATGTAAATGTCTAATTTCTGGATTTGTTCCCTTCAATAACATGATTCATATTCTCTACTCTGGATTTGCAATTACTTTAGATGCAAATTTATCTGCTCCAATAACGTTTACATACCCTTAGATGCACTATACCCGCATTTTAGTTGCAAGTTTAGTAATATGAAACTCGACGTTTTTTATGCCTAGCTAAAGTCACGTTTCTTAATATATATATATATATATATATGCTAAATCTCAAAAGAGTTATTTTTTTTCCTTAATTTTGTAATTCTCTTCAAAACCAAAACCACACAATCAAGTAATATGAAAACAAAGTCCTAACTAAAAAGAAAATAATAAAACATTTATTAGCTACTATTCGCTTAAAAAAGAAGGGGGAAGTGATTTTTGAAAATTTGAAGCAAGCAGTTATTTATGAATTGGTCAAGGAAACTTCAGTAGGACTTTACAAAAAAACCATAAAATCGAGACCGACCGCCACTGATTGAAGAACCGACCGTTCAAAAACTGAAAAAGACGGCACCACGTGGAACAACAAATAATCAGTTCAGTTAACCGACCGAACTCTTTCAAAGCCAATTCGGTTTTGATTTTGGGTTTAGAGGTTCTATTAAAAACCGAACCGACCGAGTCAAATTTTTTTTTTGAATGTTGTCATTTTTTAGTTGCACTCTTTTTTCTGCTGTCGTTTTTTTCCCCTGCTAATCTCCTATCCTCTCGACTCTCACTCTTCATTTCATCCAAGTTCAGTCATTTACTCTTTCTGCTCTCAATCTCTCAGTGATTTGAGGAAAGAAACTCTAGCCGCCGGCCGCCGCTCCGTCTCGCTCCTCAGTCCTCCTCGTACGTCCGCCCTCCACCAAACGAGGATAGTGCAAATGTGCATAAGAATGATGTGGATAAGTATTTATCTGAGTAATACGAAAAGCTAGTGGATGATAGTTTTGACATCTTAGGTTGGCGGAAAGTCAATGCTCTTAGGTATATGGTCTTATCCCAAGTTGCTAGAGATGTGCTTGCAGTTTCGTTTTCGATAGTTGCATCTGAATCAGCTTTTTCTATCGATCATTGTATTCTTGATCCTTTTATGAGTTTATTGGCACCTAGGATGGTGGAAGCACTTATTTACTTAAAAAATTAGTTGAACGTGAAGGATGAAGAATATGAACCCGTGGTTCTTAAGCAATATATGGATTAGGTTGAATCTTTTAGAAATTGCTATCATGTTGTCCCAGGTAATACTAATGATGATTATACATACTACATATACTTGTAATTATATATTTTTTATTCATTTCTTGTAATATGTAAATTAATTTCTAATTTCCTCGTTGATTACGCCCAAACGTGTCGAAAATAAAGCGGTCGCGATAACACAGTTAGGACGGTCATATCCACAAGGAATAGACAAATTGAACAAGAAACGATTAGCAAATAAAAATCGTTAGGAGATAAATAATAAAATAAAATTTTTGTTGAGAAGTTTAAGCGTAAGAAAATATATGAGAAACCTATGTAATTAAAACCGGTAAGGTGTCGAGATTCCCCTATATGCTTTGTTCACCCGAATGGATTTTGATTTTTTAAGATTACTTAATTGAAAGTTTTACATCCCAAACTAGCAATCAGAAAATAAATATTTGAAGAACATGTGAATTAAAGTGTATCCGAGTAAGTAAAATTCTTATGTTAAAACCTAATAAAAATTGTTCTTACAAGAAATCTTAAAACGACAATATATCGTTGGCAATATTTGCAGTAAAATACTACTCATAAAATAATATTATTGATACAATTATATTGAGCAATAATTACATAAAAAGAGCATGACTAAATTTATATAAAAGTTAACAACAAAATATATCAATATAAGAAATTAGAAAAAGATAGAAGAAAATTAATCATTTAAATATATAAACCTCATCAAAGTATTTTAGCCTAATTTGTACATAATTCTCACAAAATTCTAGATAAAAAATATAAAAAAAAAGAAAGGTAAAATTTGAAAGTAAAAGTGTACACTTAAGCTAAAATTTACGACCTAATTACTTTTAAAATGACCCTCTTTATAGAGTTATTGGTCATGCCAAAAGTAACAATCAGCGACAAAATTAAGGAAAACTAAAGTAAAAACGTTTTCCAAATTAATTGAAATTTACAATAGAATTAATTGAAATTTACAATTGATTTAATTGGAAAAATGAATACTGAAACTGAATGGGATTATATGGGGAGGACAACGGACGCCAACGGCAATAAAAAGAGTGAGCAGACAGATAAGGACATGTGGCGCCCTATGATTAGTGGAGAGGAGAAGTTCTGCACAACGAGTCCACGCGGAGGAAAAGCCTGACGCGAGCGTGAAGGCAGACTCGCCTAGGGGGAAGGAGTTGCGCGCCAAGCGCGCGTGTGCGAGGGAGCATCTCGGTCAGGTGGGACACGTGGCGCGCTCTGAGTGGGAAATGTTGTACAGCCGGGGCCCATGAGGAAGTGAAGAGAAACGTGCCTGACGTACGCGTGAAGGCAGACTCGCGTGGAAGAGGAAGCAGTGCGCGCCAAGCACGCATGCGCGAGGGAAGACCTGGGTCCCACGGATCTAAGGCGTGCCAGAGAGTAACAGGTGTCACGGGGAATCTGGAGGCTCGGCTCGGCGGCTGACCGCTGAACCTGCTGATGGGCTTCTTAATGGGCTTCTTTAAATTAATTAAAGAGAGAAAGAGAGAAATAGGCAAGACTTAAGATAAATTAAAATTAATATGTCAATAGTTTATATAAGTTAATAAATAAGTTAAATTATTATTTTTGTCCATAACTTGTCTGGTTATAAATCATAACTTAACAAGTTATGGCATATTAATTTCTACAACTAAAAATTGGCCTATATACTTTTTAAGCTTTTTATATTGGCCTATTTTCTACTATTTCCGTTAATTAAAGAAGATAAATTGTCATAAAATTTAATTTAATTTCATTTCATTTAATTATTTTCCTACAAAACAAGATAAATTAAATTTAAATTAAATACTTTCACATATAATTAATTTTATAAAAATATTTAATTAAAACTTAATTTATTTAACAATTATAAACAAATTAAGTGCATTTTTATGCACTTATCACTTATAGATGATGGTGAGGTTGTTTCTACTCCAACATGTTTAACGAATGGAAGCACTCAAGTAAATGATGCATAATATTCTAAAAGACCCAAATAAGATAATTAGAATTATATATTTTTTTTGTCATTATCTATTCAATTTCATTTACTTAATTTCAATTTTCTATTGTAGCGATACATATGACGATATAATTGATTTAGATTTGGATAAGGATGAGGATGAAGGGGAATAGGAGGAGGTTTATGAAAAGTTGGAAATGAACTTCACTACTTAAAGTTGAACTTTTTAATTATGCTTTGGACTTCTTAATTTCTTATGTCAATTTATATGTTTTTTACACTTGTAAAGTGGACTTTATATGTGAACTTTGAACATTAGTATTGTTTGTTGTGACTTTCTAGTTTGTACTTTAAATTTTGGACATTAGATTTGGATATTTTGTGTTTGTGGTATTATCAATTTAGATGTTGTGCTTTGTTTTCATTTATTCTGATTACAGATTTACATAGAAGGAAAGTTTTACATTTTTCCATATTTTTTGGTCAACAAATGCAACTAAAGATGTTGGTAGCACGATGGTTTACTGATGGCTACCTTCCTGATTACCAAAACTGAAAACTGACCGAAAATCAAAGTCGGTTAACCGAATTGACTACTCCCTTGTATGGTTCGGTTTCGGTGCACAGTTTTATAAAACTGACATAGTCGGCTCAGCTACCGAACCGACTAAAACTGACGGTTTTTAACCGATGAACATCCCCAAACTTCATGAATGTTTTCAAATTTTTTTATTTAAAGTTTACATCTGATATTAATTTCAATATTTCAAATATTGCTTACATGACGTGCATACTTTCTAATAAGCTTGGCCTCACAATGGGTTGTTTGGTTGCTAGATTCATGTTATGATTCGAATCATGGTTCATAATTCGTTATAGTATTTTCTCTCACAAAAAACACACGTAAATCGAGAATGATTTTAAATCATGATTCTGAATTCATCAACCAATCGTTCACTAATTTATTTGATTTCTCTTTATCCTTCCCGAATCTTTTGATTTGTTTTCTTAAAATTTGATTGAAATTTTTGAAACTCTCATATTGACTTGTTTAGATATTCATGTGTATGCTTTCTTTCTCTTTGCCTAATCTTTTGATTTGTTTTCATATCGAGAATTCCGTGAATTTTTCTACCTTCTTCTTCTTTTTAAATGTTTTTGAGTCCGTCTAACTTCTTGTTTTAATTATTCAATTTTAATATGAGATTAGTTATTTTGTTTACATAATATGAAGATAGTGGGGGAGTGTTTACTTAGTAAGAGCATCTAAGGGATCTATCTAAATTTTAGTTAAATTCTAGCTAAAATGACTAGAAAGTTCTTTTATCTAGTAATTTGTTAGTGAGTCACTCTAACCATACTCTTTATTTTAACTAAATATAGATTATTTTAATATTTTTTTGAGTTTTAAAATATGATTAACTTTTTGTAACTTTAAAGAAAAGAATAAATTAATTAAAAGATTAAATAGCTAGTTATATTTAGGGTCTGTTTAGTTCACTAATTTAAGTTTTTAATTGGAGTTGAGATGTGACTTTATGTGAGAGATTTTTACTATAGCAAAAATGTTATATGTGATTGTTTCTGAGAGCTTTTTACTGTAGCAAAACTCGAATTGGTGAAATGAATGAGGCATTAGTTAGTTAAAAATGCTATAGTTAAAATAGCTAATCATTTAGCTAATAAAAAAAAGTTAAATCATTATATATTTTAACTAAAAACATGAAATGACTAACATGGTTGGAGTTGCTCTAAATGGCCCGCCATTTGTCACTTAAATATATTAAGAAAAATGTGATAAATACTCTCTTAAAGTGCATGAGTCAAAATTTTTATCATTTAGTCTACGTTAATATCATTTTATGGGGTATTAATCAAGAATAAATAATTAAAATTTAAATTAATACTAAGTTTAGTAATTTTCTCAATATATTACAGCTCTGCAAAATACTATGACTATCAAGCTCAACCGTATTGAAAGGACCCAAGCTAAAATTGGATTCCATAATACTATAAAAACTATAGTTGAACAACTACTTCTGTCTCGCAACGGACAATGAGAGTTGGATCTGTTATAAGAGATTCTACTGAATTTATCATTACAACTTTGACTAAAAAGTTAGATGATGGCCGCTCATGAAGCTGAAGATAAAGCCCTTACTTTAATTTTATTTGGGCTAGGGATGTGAGGTTAAATCTCTACGGAGAAAATTATTGAACGTATTTTTAAAGTATATAAGTCTGAATTTTTACCTTTACGTTTAATTAATATCATTTTTATTAATATAATTATTTAATTAAAAAAAATATTAATTAATAATAAATTATAAAAATTCATATTTATGCTCTCTAAAGGGTGTTCTCATTTTAAAAGAAATTATATTTCTCTCTCCTAACTTTCTTTTTAAAATACATACTGGTAGAATCCAATACATTTATTCACAAGTAGAGAGATGACCCGTTTTCTGATTTCATCAAATAATCCATTTCCATCAAACATTTATTAATTTTAAAAAACTATTTTTCAAATTGACCAATAAAATTTACCGTTTATCATTTTATTAAACCATTACATTCAATTTTTTTAAATCGAAAATATCCATAAATATACATAGGACTAAAAATTCTTACACTTACGGTCAACTATTTTCTTCTTCTTCATCTTTTTCCTTAATTTTAACAAATAAATAATAAACATAAAAATTATAAAAAGACAAACCACCTACTACCAAGTCGCCCTACATCATGATATGCTAACGAACCAAACTAAAGGTCAGTGACTCAAAAAAAAAAAAAAATATATATATATATATACACACACACCCAAAGGTGACACATAAGATAACGGATTCATTAGAATTAGAATATTCCTTTTATTGTTCATCTGGTTCAGATTCCCACAAAGATGATGACTGCCACGTGGGTAAGTCCCATGTTAATCCTAAGGATCACGCCTTAAAACGTGCTCTAATATACCTCTAAGTCTTTCACACAAAGCCCTGTGGAAATATCTTTCATGGCCCCACAGTTGACGTGGCAGGATAGGCACCACAATTGAAATCCGCGCCTACATTGCCCTAGTTTTAGTGCTTATCCTACTTTTTTATCCTGTTTTAGAAAGGACACGCGTCACGTCCTAAGCGGAGATTGATAGCTACTTTCTTGGCTGGTTCGTCTCTTTAGACAATTTGTTGTCGTTTTATCTTATCCCGAGGTAGTGGACGACACAACGTCCCGTTCCGCGAGTATGGGAACCGCATCGTACTCGCCCATTTTTTCATTACCATTAGTATCAATAATTTTAGGCTTCGTTCACCGATTCGAGTTTTTAATTTTAAGTTTTTACAGTAAAAAGTTCTCAAAAAATGTCATATCTCTATTACAGTAAAAAATTATCACAAAATATCACATCTCAATTCAAATTAAAAACTCAAATTCACAAAATAAACGATGCCTTATTAATAATTAATTATTACTTTCTCTCTTTTCTTTCTTCAAATGTCATTGATTATTACTATTTGTTGTTAGTTCACATTGAAATAAAAATTAAAGGAATTTTATCGCAAGTGCTCTCCAGTCTCCATTGTATTTCAACTTATGGGATCATTAACTGTAATTATACAATAACAATTTAAATAACAATGCATGTAATATAGGCTTATATACAGGGTTACATACGGTGAGAGAATTTCATCAACGATTGTTATATGCGTATTGTATTTATGGTTTTATACATATTTATTATTTATGTCATTCTAAATAATTTAGTATTTATTATAGCCTTTTATTTTCTCTTTAATAATTAAATGACAATTATTTATTTTTAAGTGTAATACCATAAATAATATTTTTCATTATCTTTAGTGGTGTTTCTGCCTTTTTCTCTTCTAAATAACGTGTCAATGCTAAATATTGACTTTTATATAGGAAACAAACCATTATGCATCGTAGTGCTTTTTTTTTTCCATTAAATCTAGCATTTATTGTACTTGGTGTTAAATTTAGCATCATTTAACTTAATTATTGTGAAAAAATAATATAGCATTTTTTAAGAGAATATAGCGTTTTGAAACTTATGCATCGGAGGCATAGAAAAAAAAAATAATAGCATAGACAAATGGCCAAATACCAATTTTACACTTTTTTATCAAGTGTAGAATTGGTATTTGGCATTTGAATTAAAAATGGTAAAAATAACATGGATCTTATCCTTCATCATAAGAAAAATTCAAAAGCAAGAACATATTCAAGAAATTAGGCAGCAAATTCAAAGTTCCCTTGAGTGACACCACTTCTCTTCTTCACGTACTCTTTTAAGTAAAATTGACCACCACGCACCATGTATTTGCCTTTTTAATTTCGTGATATATCCAATCAAAGTAGTTTTTGGTAATCACGTACTTATATTTTTATGCTAGATTAACATTTCTTTTCTTTTAAAGTAAGAATACAAAGTTCAAATGTTTTCCAATATAATGAACTAAGAAGATGTCTTTTCATAAAAAGAGAATAAAGAAAATGTAATTCCCATAGTGTGATTTATTTGTTTATCTCATTAAAACTTTAATAAAAAAGGAAACCAAAATTCAAAATGTGTACGTGCATCTTTACAACCTTTAACACACTATTTTGTATTTTATAAATTAATTCAGGTAAAGAGTTGCGTAAGCTTAAGTTGCAAATTACATTTCATTAAAAAGAAAAACAACGTTGGTATTGTCCTTTCATCTTTTTATACTTTTCTTAAAATTCAAGTGACAATAGCCAAACGTCTATAAATTTTATATCATATTTAAAAGGAAATGTAAAAGTTGTTGTTCTTTCTTATTCCCTCATGTGAGAATTGAGATTAATGCACGTTGTGTGTGAAAATGTGAAAGGTAAGACTTACGAATGTGGTTTCTCTATTTTTTATTTTTATTTTTTTAGACTTGAGAAGCGAAAATTTGGACAAAAAAGCATCTAAATATTATTCCAATTGAATAATCCCCATCCGGATAAAGTCTGCGATGGCATTGGCAAGTGCAGGGAACCATGTATAAAATCCAAAATTATTGGTCATCATAAGCGTTTTGTTCACTTCCGCGAGTATGATTAATGTCGCCATACGAGGTTGAAAAAGTCAAAGCAATAACCAATCAAAACCAAAGCAATGCCACACAAAACGACAAAACCCATCAGACATAAAAGGGCCATCCCTCTCCTTGTAAACATTTCAAACACCTACGCTTCTCTCAACCTTCATTTCAAAAATACCCTTCTCAAAAAACAAGAAGAAAAATAAAAAAATAAAAAAACTTCCTAGTTCTAGTTCTAGCCCAAAGATAATGGAGGGCAAAGCCAATTCTGGAGTACTTCCTCCAGGTTTCAGATTTCACCCAACAGATGAGGAATTGATTGTGTATTACCTCAAAAACCAAGCCACTTCAAGGCCATGCCCGGTTTCCATAATCCCAGAAGTTGATATTTACAAATTTGATCCATGGGAACTTCCTGGTCAGTACTAAAAAGTTCATAATATTGATATACATTTTTATATATATTTTTTACATATTATGGCACATATATATACGTATGAGAAGTTAAATTGATGGCGTATTTTTGTGTAGTGCAGACAAAGCTGAGTTTGGAGAAAAGGAATGGTATTTTTTTAGCCCAAGAGATCGGAAGTATCCAAATGGGGTTAGGCCTAATAGAGCAACTGTGTCAGGTTATTGGAAAGCCACAGGCACAGATAAGGCAATTTATAGTGGGTCTAAATATGTTGGGGTAAAGAAGGCTCTTGTGTTCTACAAGGGTAAGCCACCAAAGGGCATTAAGACTGATTGGATCATGCATGAATATCGCTTGACTGATTCACGTAGACAAATCCCCACCAAACAACTTGGATCCATGAGAGTAAGTCCTTAGTCTAAAGTCGTCAAATCTTTATTAAGTGGACGTTTGATGGAGGGATTTAAAATTATAATTCATGATTTTGATTTATTTAAATTTGTTATGAGAGAAAAATAAGAGAATCAAAAACTATATATTTATGAATTTCTTAACCAAACAAAGCATAAGTATCTGATTCTAAGTAGTTCTAACGTTTAGAAATAGTACTATTGTATAAGGAGATGTAATACAGTAGACATTACTGTTGTACAAAGAGATGTTATACAGTAGAAAAATCTCTTTGTTTTGATTTCTGATATACATCAAATTCTGTTAGTTAATAGATTTAACGGTTAAAAAGACAGCATTGTTGACATAAATGTTATACCATAGAAAAGTCTGTTTTGATTTTTTTTTTTTTTTTTCAGTTGGATGACTGGGTCCTCTGCAGGATCTACAAGAAGAGGCACATGGCCAAAGCTCTGGAGCCAAAAGTGGAAGATTCAAGTCCTCATACTGATATAACAGCTCATGTTGGTCATGAGGCCAATGAGGAACAAATGTTGAAATTTCCAAGGACGTATTCCCTTGCACATCTGTTGGAACTGGACTACTTGGGCCCAATTCCACAACTTTTGAACGACAACAACCCATACAACTCGGCCCATGATTTCAACGTCAACAGCAACACTTGGCCAAATTCAGGAACTGGGTTTGTCCAAAACCTTCAGTTCGGTGAAATGCCATATCAAAACTCAGACCTGGGGAAGTTCCAAGTGGCTCAAGCCCAAAGCAGCAACTTTAACCAACAACATGTCTTTGGCAACCAAGGGTATGATGTGTATGGTTTGGAACGTTAAAGAAGCGAAAAGTTTAGGTGTCAATTTTAGGTTCGAACATAAAGTTTGAAGAGAAAAAGCAAGACGGTTTGAACTGTAATTTAAATCTTTGTTTACAAATGGCATTCTCATTGGTTTGGTTGGACATTAGACAGCTAGAATCGCCTACTCAGAAAATTGTATATTTGTTGAATATGTAACAGACATTTTGTGAAATTTAATGAATTATTCCACTTTGTTCCCAATCAGAAAGTCAGAAACGACAGTAAAAGAGGTCTTTGTTCACACATGGCAAACTCAGCAAAAAGGGTCTTTTTGGGTTTGGACAAATCTTGAGGTTTGTTCTCAATTATCTGCGGTCCATTTGGCCTGTTATTGATGCTTATCCCAAAATAGAAGCCTTTTGTCAAGGATGGTCAGTAATATCACCGCGTGGAAAGCAGTTTTTGGATGACGTGCTCATGAACTATTTGCATGTAGTTGGGGATTATGATATGATTTATGATATGACATATAATGATACCACTAACGGCGGTTTAAATTATTTAAGTATTCACATCATCGAGTTTTTTTTTTTCCTTTTTTTTCTTTTTTTTTTTTCTCTAATCGCAATGACATGATAATTGATAATACAAAGAAGGTTCCACCTTACCGTACGATTAAAAAGTAACAAAATTGTTAATTTTCTTTTATTATTAGGTTTTACTTTTACACGTTGAATGCGTAATACAATGCTATTAATTATGACAAGTTTACGGTGTATTATATTTTATGACAAATTTTTATTAAATATGATATATTGTAAATTTGGCACTTAATTCAGACCTTTTTTAATATAAATGTTAATATCAATATTATATATCATCAAAAAATATAATATAGTAGATTATTTTTATTTTTATTCGAATGCATAATCTATTTAAAATGTTAAATCTATTCCTCTCTATAATTAGTAAGCTTTAAAAATTGTAAAATTAAATTTTTATTTTTGAAATAATTAAAAAGATATATAAATTATAATGATTATATAAAAAAGTAAACATACTTTTTTACACTTAAATATTAAATTTATAATTTACATCAATTATAACACTATATTTTAGATATTTTTACTGAATGATGTGTTGCTTTTTTATTCAATCATTACAAATTTTATTTTTTAAATTATTTTAAAATTAAAAATTATTTTTATAACTTTTAAAGCCTAATAATTATAAAAAGTAGATTTTAATATTTTTAAATAGTATTATATAACACAAATAAAAATAATATTTGTTGTTATATTTTTTGATGTTAAATATTTAATTGATATTACCTGGTCTCGTGATTAGAAAAAGACTGGCCACATTATTAGTCTAACGTCATGAAGCCTTCTGGTTGAACGAGTCAAGTGGATTTCGTTAAAGAAACCATTGATTAATTGATTTGTTAATTTTATGTTTTTTTTTTCTTTGTTGCTGTGAAAGCTGAGGAATTACAGGTTCCGTGGGTTGTTTGTCAAACTGTGTGCTTATGAAATTTAAGGAAAATGATGTTAATTTTGGCCAATAACCACTGGACTAAGAAATAAGGTAATGATGGTCGGCTTGTTCTCGTTGAGTTCTCCATGTTGACTATAGTTATTTATTTTTCATTGTTTTTATTGTTTTGTAATAAAAGTGCTGATGTTTTCTGAACGTGGTTATCGGAAGTCTTCTTTATTTTATCTTTGTTCCCATTCTGTTTATTTTATTTGTCTTGTATATGGCAAGATATAAGTGAATTAATTAGAAATAGGGTAAGTAATCATTTCATTGTTTTTTTTTTTGTTTTTTTGCTTTTTTCTTTTGGCGATCAAGAGTATTTTTATTAGCTTTCATTTGGATTTGGTATGTCACGATAAGTATGTGTCAAGTGACGACGTATAGGATAGTATTAGACAAAGAAGTTGGCATGCAAGTGGCAAGCCATAACTGTCAATCCTAACCTAGCTTGCTGTACTAGCTTGAGCAGTGCATTGTACCAACTTTATGTTAAATTTTTCTGATGCTTTAAATTTTTATGGATTAAATGAATTTTGAGGTTCACTTTTAATTTTATTTTGGTCTTTAATTTTTAAAACCTCTCATAATTGGTTTATGAAGTTTTATATTGTTTTAGTTTCGGTCATTATATTAATTAGATATTAAATATTTAATAAAATTTGTATAAATTAAGAATCAAAATTAAAAACAGTTAAAATTTAGTGATTATTTATAAAAAGTAATATTTATTTTTTTATTACTTTAACCCTTAAATTTTAGATGTTTTTAATTTTGGTTTATAATTTTCACAGATTCCGTCAAATATTTAACACATAATTAATCGAAAGACTGAAACTAAAACAAAATAAAGTTTGAAGAACTAACTTTGAGACGTTTTAAAAGTTAAAAACTAAAGTGAGATTAAGGGTAAGCCTCATAAACCATTTATGGGTTAATCCAATTTTTATTTATGCAAGTTAATCTTATAAGCTCAAAGTCTCCAACACGAGTATCACTTTTTTTTTAGGATGCATATCTCTTTTTATTTTTCAGCTCTTGAATGTTTGTAGATCCAAAATTATATGATGTCGTTCAAAATTTGTTACTTGGATATATACGATGTTATGTTATTCCCTTCAATAATTTATTTTCTTGGAATTTGTGATAAGGATGACTTTGGAGTGTTTGCGCCTACTAGCCATAATTTTAAGGCCTCGTTCGTTTCGCTGATTCGAGTTGAGATGTGATTGTATGTGAGAGCTTTTTACTGTAATAAAAAAGTTAGATGTGATTGTTTGTGAGAACTTTTTACTGTAACAAAACTCGAATTCTAAACTTAAATCAGCGAAACGAACGAGACAAGATCTGAGACCATACTACTCTCACCACTAGCCTCACTCTGATAGTTAACAAACGTAACTCTTCTTCTGCTTCTTTTCTATTTTCCATTATCCTCCATTTTCAATTAACAGTTTTGTCTCTATAGGGAAAATAAGGCCTTGAAAGTGATGCCAAAGTACGTCCAAAATCTAGTTATAGCTAAATAGGTCAAATTTTCATTGGCTTTCACAAAGGATTATATCAAAAGAAGATTTACAATAAAGTTAATATAGTTTGAACCGTCAGATTATATCAAAATTATATCATAAGATTTTTAATAAAATAAGAATGTAAATTTAATCACACGTGAAAATCCGACAGTCGATAACTATACAATACGATTAAAGTATTTTTATACCTACCACAGAACTCTCCAATGTAATATATAGCACTGGCACAAGTACTATACCAGAATACAAAAAAGAGTAGCACCATTTTATTCTGTAATGATATCTTAGACTTTTCAAATTCTTATTAGTGATTTTCAAGCTTAAAAAGCAGAACAAGAAGCTTAGTAAAGAAGCTCTTCCCCACCTCATCTCTCTCTCTCTCTCTCGTCTCTCCCTCTCTCACATTTATGCAGATTCTCTGATCCACTAGTCCGGTCTCACCTCTTATCTTAACTATTATCATCATCATTATATCAAACAAAACATGAAAGGCATTGATATATTCTGTGCATCCCAAGCTTCAACTGCTATATGTTTGAGCATGGACATTGAAGCTGCTTCATCCTCCTCCACTTCCTCCACCATTCAACTTGGCGGCCGAGCCATCGACCGCCACAATCCCATCATCCGTGACGGACGAAGAAGCGCCCCTTGCTCCTCTCAGCCCCCCATCAATCCCAAGCCTTACCACCAACTCCCAAGGGCCAAGAAAAGCTCTAAAATCAATGATCAAAAGAGAAAGAGTACTAGTTCTCAAACCAAGCTTAGTGACTACATCAAAACTGGCTCTTCTTCTTCTTCTACTATTACTTTGCCTAGAGATGTTGTCGGTAGAAAAAGCTGGGGGGCTAAGGCTGCTGATTTGGTCACTCCTCCTGGTTCCTCGAGATACCTTTTGGGCGACACCGCATTTCTCGATGGATTGTCGGACTATGATCCGGTCCTGTCGTTGGTTCCGGTTCGAAACAAACTGAACCAACTAGGTGCTGCTAGTACTGCTGCCGATGCAGAGAAGCAAGAACAATCCAATGCTGAAAAATTAGACTCTTCTTCCTCCTCTCATCACTCCTCCAAACCATCTTCTTCCAACCAGGTTAGTTTACCAATTCTCTTGAAAGCTTATGTAGCTGTTAGAAAGTGGGCCGACATTAGTTTTTTTATTTAAGTGCTAAAGAAACGAACATGTTATTCATTGGTACATGCTTTTAGTAAAAGCTCTTAAAACATGTTGGTGGCTAGCTTGGTAGTTGATTCAAAACATGAAAGTGTGGAAAAAAATCTTAACCCCAGATGAATTCTGCCTTTTTTTCGTTTTGATCATCATAAAAGTGGACATGATTATAACAATTTTAGTCACGGAGAGAAGACTATAGGTCCATTGTTTATTATTTGACGGGTGTGGTACTAATGGAGTTTTGGTTTAATTTGCAGGTTGTGGTCCTGAGGGTGTCCCTGCATTGCAGAGGTTGTGAAGGAAAAGTTAGGAAACATTTGTCCAGAATGGAAGGTACACACACACACACACACACACACACACACACACACACACACACACACACACACACACACACACACACACACACACACACACACACACACACACACACACACACACACACACACACACACACACACACACACACACACACACACACACACACACACACACACACACACACACACACACACACACACACACACATATATATATATATATATATCTTGTAATCTCTCAAGGCTAAAAAACTGTTTGGTTCCTTAAAAGGGCATCATCAATTTTTGCCATTTTACATGATTGCCACCTTTTTCTGTCAATTCTTTTCTGATGCATTCCCATACATACTCTATACTTTCTAGATAGTCATCAAAGCCATTTCTTGTAATTATAAGAATTCACTTTCATTTTGGGTAAGGGGTAGTTTGAAAGAAACCAATCATTGAATTTTGATTACATGAGCAGAAAATACTAATTGAACATATATAAATATTAGTTATGATGGGAAGTTTACTAAGACAAAATTAAATTCATTAATGTGTGTGTGTGAGTGCAGGAGTGACATCTTTCAACATAGACTTTGCAGCAAAGATGGTGACTGTGGTAGGAGATGTAACTCCACTTAGTGTCCTGGCCAGTATATCAAAGGTAAAGAATGCTCAATTTTGGACTAAAGAAGTTGTCTCATCAACCGCAGCACCAAACTTCACTCCCAGCAACTTGGAGACCAAAAAACATTAGATGCCTACTTGAAGAGAGAGAGAGAGAGAGAGAGAGATGGGAATCAACTATAGATATGGTTTTGGATGTGAATTAGATGCTTTTTTCTTTTTTTTTTTATTTTGGTGTAAATGAAGTTCTTTTTTTTTTTTTTTTAAGCATATGGGTGGATGAACTTTCAGAACCAAAGTTGCTTAGTAGAAAGTAAATTAGTATATAAAAAAAAAAGGGAGTCTTTTAAGCAGTCATAACAAGTTATGGTTTAGTCAATTCCCCATAACTTTGTTGCAATATGGCCAAGGCTTTGTGCTTCCCAAACATGTTTTTTTTTTTTTTTTTTTTTTTGGTATTGGGATCCATGGGGAAAAAAGAAAAAAAGACTTTGTAAGGGTGCTTAGTCATCTTGAACAATATTTTGTTCAAAATAATTAGTTAGTTATGTCGTTAACATTAAAATATTGGATTACTTATAAAACATTAGGCTGCTTAGTTATTTTAAACTATATTGAATATGTTGCGATAATAGCTTTGTTTTGACACTATCCTCTAAATTATAACTCGCCAAACCCAAAACACAGAAATATAAATATCATTCTCCGCAACTTTTGCTGACATTATCTTGGTGAATCTATTATTATTATTGTTATTTGTGATAATTAAGAAGATTTCATTAATTTAATATGTGAGCTATTGCATTCTTCCAACATCTGCACGGCTTGTATCAGTGACGATTGTTAATGAAGACAAGGACTAATATCTAATTGCTTATACTAAGAAAAAGACGGAGTATTATGAACAGCTCTAAAATAACAAATTTGGTAGGTGGAAAGGAAGCCTTGCTCAGTAGTTTTCTCGACATTATTTCTCTATGTATTTCCCTTTCCTTTATTTTACAAAGGAAAATGATGTTAATTTTGGCCAATAACCACTGGACTAAGAAATAAGGTAATGATGGTCGGCTTGTTCTCGTTGAGTTCTCCATGTTGACTATAGTTATTTATTTTTCATTGTTTTTATTGTTTTGTAATAAAAGTGCTGATGTTTTCGTCTTGTTAGTATTGGTTTATACTATTTTGTTATTGTGTTAGTTCTGCAATAACAGAGGTGGTTTCTCTATCTTTTAACTTTGTCAACGTATCCTACCCATTTATCGATAGCATGGGTGATGGTATCGACTAGATTTGATTATATGTCGTGTTGCTTGTGTCCTCATTATTTGGGATTTAGTCTCGGTTGATTGGGTTAATCTATTGACTATAATGGTTATGTCTAACGAGCCTTGGTCGCACTCAATCTTTATGTGTCGAGTAGGTATTTCTCCGTTGGGTCTCAATACTTGTGTTCTGTCCTTTTACTTTATCCGTCTTTATTGGTAGATCCAGTTAATATTCGAGGTCGAATCTTACGACTAATTTAAATATGTAATTTTGTTATAATGAAATGAATTTTTTTCCCTAAAAAAAAGAAGAAGAAAAGGTAGCGAACCTTGAATTTAGAAGAGTGCACATTTGATTCTACGTAGTAAAATGAATAAATAAATAAATTTATGAAATTTTTTTTAGATGCTAATGTTTTATGGGATGAATTAGAAGAATATTACCTTTAGAGACGGTATCCAAATTTTTATATACCGTTACGCGTTAATCTAAGGCGTTAGTCTAAGGATGAGTTTGGTTAAGAGAATCACTACTTTTGTTTTAGTAAAAGTTAGAAGCAGAAGAAGCAGAATTTAAAGTTATAAATTCTAACTTCTTTATAAATAATTTAAAAAGTGCATTGGTGTTTGTATAAAGTGCTTTTCAACCTTTTAACTAAACACTAGCTTAGAAAACAGCTTTTTTGCATAGATAACCCCCTTATTTTATGAGTTTGATAAATTAGTTTTTAACTTTTTTCTTAACGATTCATCTTTTAAATTTTAAAATTTATTGTATTATTAGTTAAATTAAAAACAAAAATAAAAATTTAAATAATATTTTTCACGTGAGTGTTTAATAAAAATAATTATGGTATTTCTGCAAAATAGCCCTCAGAAAACTATGATACATAGTCTATTTGAATCTTTAATGTATTAAAAACCTATTTTTTTGTGTTTTTTATAATTTGTAGTAAATGAACCTTCTAACTTTAAAAGAAGATTTATAGGGATAAAAAAATGAGGTTAATAATTAAAAAAATTGTAAATATTACATTAAAAACATTAAATAAATTGGGAAGTTTAGATAAATAACAAATTTATCAAATTTGATCTTCAAATAAATTCGATTCAGAATTTATCACGTTCCGTTATGAAAGTTTCAAAATCTGATAAATTCTGAATTTACCCAAATTCAACAATTCACTACTTATCTAAAAAATTCCAACAATTTTCCTCGAAATAATGAATTTCCCTTTTTCTCCCCAAGCTTTCCCCCTTAATTGCCACGGCGGCAATGTGAAGCCCAGTACCCAAACGGGCCGAACCCACAAGAAGAGGATAACGAACTCCACGTGGCAAAAAGTTAAGGTCCATGTTGGATTAACGGGCAGGACGGTCAGCCACAAAAGCCTGCCTAAAAATCGAAAAAAAATATGCAAATTCCCAATTTCCCACTTCCAATTCATGAATTATCCTCGAACATTATTATGAACTTTTGACCCCAAACGAAAACATGAGCAGCTTCACTAACACCACCACCACGACGACTCAATTCCACGCTCACATCAACAAATTCCAACCCCATCACCTCCCGAAGACCCGAATCCCCATAACAATCCGAGCCTCGCTTCAAGGTGAAGAAAATACGGCATGTCGTCGGCGCATCGTTACGACACTCCTAGCCACGTCTTTGGCACTTGGAGTACTGAATCCCGCCACCACGCCAATGGCTCTAGCTCAGAATTGGGGCACTCGGTCCTTCCTCAAGGAGCGGTTTTTCGAGCCCGGGCTGTCGCCGGAAGACGCCGTGGCTAGAATCAAGCAAACCGCGGAAGGGCTACATAGCATTAGGGACATGTTGGAGAGCATGTCTTGGAGGTATGTGTTGTTCTACATTCGCCTAAAGTCGGCCTATCTTAGGAATGCCATGACTACTTTGCCCCAAGGCCGGCGAAGTGATTATGTTAAAGCTGCTAATGAGTTAGTGGATAACATGGCCGAGGTAACATACATACACATATATATATATATTAAATTTATTCTTTTATCTTAGAATTTGTATAGTTTAATTGTTAATTAAGCTTAATTAATCTTATTATATATGAGTATGTTAAAAGTCATAGTGTGGACCATGACCATATGTGAGAATGAAAAGTCACACACACACACACACACACGTATATATATGTCACCTTTATAAATGTCTCTAGAAAACAATAATTTTGATACCTTGTTAATGGCTAATTAAAGTTAATTAAAGTTGACGTGTGCTATGGCCCATCAAATTAAAAATTTGTTGATAAACAATGTATTTGCACCATACTCTCAAGTCTCAAGGACATTTTTTTTCTTAACAAATTATTGTTAATTAATTTTAGTTCTCAATATGATTTTGCTTGTATTCATTGGTGTTTGTTTTCTAGTTTGATTATTACGTTCGCACGCCAAAGGTGTATGAATCATACTTGTTCTACGAGAAGACACTGAAATCCATAGACGACGTTGTGGCATTACTGGCCTAAATAGAAGCTGTCATTTCAATATCTGTAAGCAACTATTAATTTTTCTTAATGAGCTACTTTTTTTTTTTTTTTTTTTTTTTTTTTTTTTTTTTTTTTTTATTTTTTTTTATGATTTTTTTTTTTTTTTTTTTTTTTTTTTTTTTTTTTTTTTTTTGCATTGTGTAATTCTTGTGTAAATTTTTGGAGCAGGAAGAAAGATAATGTATGTAAATATTGCAGATCATTTGATGAAAATGTAGAGTTATAATAATATAGCTCTTCAAACCTTGCACCTTTTTTTATGTTTTTTAATCAAGCCAAAGCAAGTTTTACAAAGACAGCCCATATACATGAGATTCATGATCTTGTCTTATATAACACACACACACACAAGTAATCAGCGTCGAGAGATGGCCACAGATGTTACGATGATGATCAAAATGAAGACAACCACAGAGACAAAAGAACCGATCAGAGAGCCAGAAATGCGATCGCAGAAGCTCCGGAATTGCTGGCAAAATGGAACCCAGTTGGCGCCTGTGCTCCCGTTATGCGCCATGGCCACTATAGCGGCTGCTGCTGATGCTCCGGCGGTTAGAAGACCCATCATCACCTAGTTCATCACAAATTAATCAGTACACTAGAAAGTTAATTAGGCTTTGCGAATTAATCATCACTTTTTCGGAGATAATTAGCTAGAAGTTTGGCTAAATTAAGAAACAAATTCCTCTCGAAGTTTGATCCTTGTCTCAATATATTACATCGATGAAGGGCATTATACACGCATATGACATACGTACCTGTTTTTTAAATATTAAAAATTTTCCGGAGCTTTTGTTATTTTCTCGACATCTCTTATTAAAGAAGCTTCCATATGCCACTTAGGCAATTGTTTGGTCACTAAGAAAATGAGAAGAAAAAAAAAAGAAAAAGAAAAAAGAGTTCAATCCACTGTGTTTTCATACCGTGTCAAATATGACCAAGAAAATCCTACTCTTCACAGCAGCACTCTTGATGATATGGATAAAAGAGAGGCAGAGAGAAACCACAAGATAAACGCAAACAATAGAATTGGCGATCACAAAGAACCTATCAAACACAGCCACACAAGTAATACATAATAACATTAATACTCACTAATTCTAAAAATGTAACCACTGAAAACTCGTCCATATGGTAATTAAGTGACTACTCACGTAAATGTGGGAAGGTCTTTATAGACGGCTCTGAAGCGTGTGAATCTAGTGACAAATGAAAGTGTTTGCCTAGAGGTTCCCATGGCTATGGCACTTGCTAGAGTTCCTAGTGCAGCAATTATTCGCAGAATGAAGTCTAGTAGAGACAGCACTCTCACACTTTGGCTTGGACGTGTTGATTCCCTGGAGATCTCACCCACTTCAACTTGTTCTCCCTTCATTTTCTTACTAATTAGTACTTAGCTCTTGAGAAGATTTTGTGTAAAGTATGTTTGATTAGCTGATTTCGATGCTTATGGAGACGATTAAGGTTAAGGCACGGTTTTATACTAAATAGATCCCACGAAAGCTAACTTAATTAATTAATTAATTTTTCTCCTCCAATAAGAACCATCCTAAGTGGGTTTTAGGTTTGCTAAGCTCCAATGGCTAATTTGTGCTCTTGCTTAATTTCTCTTAAGCATGCCATTTGCGATTGATGACAAGCAGTGATCTCTCTATAATAATCAAGATAATTTGTTTATAAACAACTTTTTTCACAATGCGCGCGAAATCCTACCTGCTCTATTATAATAATCAAGATAATTTGTTTATAAACAACTTTTTTCACAATGCGCGTGAAATCCTACCTGCTCTATACACACACACACACACACACATATTTTGCGTTGAATGAAATATATGTGTTGGTTTCCTTCCAACTCCAATAATGTCTTCAACGAAGTGTTATACATCACTGCTCAGATTATTTTATTTTATTATATTTATTGATATGAGAAAGTTAACGTTAAACTCTGCTACCATCAAAGCTTGCATGTGTCACACATGACACGCCAACATTAATATGTTAGATGAATACTCCAAAGTCATGAAGTGCATAGTATACGGCTCTTCTGAATACTGGACATAATTATTACGAAAACTAAGGACATAATATATTGTAATGCTACATGTGCTTGTCTTGTTTTGTTTTGTTTTTTCTTTTTTTTGTTGTTGGAAAATGCTACATGTGCTTGTTTACTAAATTAACTGTACTAGAAAATGCCAACTTATATGATACCTGTTTTAAATATATATATATTTTTTAAATTATCATTATCACACGAATTCGTATAAGAAAATGGGGATCCTAGCACTACTTTTGACGTCATTTGTTTATTGTGTAAATATAAACCATATGCAGTGGTTCAAACTACAAACCTTATGCAACGTGCAGGCCTATAGTTTTTTTTTTTTTTTTTTTTTTTTTTTTTTTTTTAACATAACTAAATCTAGATACAAGACATTTTTGTTATAAGAGATAGAAAGAATTCTATTGTTCATTCCTAGAAGGTTACAAACTTGGGTGTAGATATGGGTGGGTATTTTTGCTTAAACGGCTGAGAATTGTGGCAAATTCACTAGCGTTTAATACATACTTCTCTCCAGATGCGTGCTTTTTACAAGACACGACAATATGCAAAGGTATGCTAATTGTGACATCGATATTTGAGAGACTAGGAAAACAATTACAACTTTTATCTTCTTTAATTACTTCTTCTTATTTAGTATTGTCTTTTGGGAGTCTGTGGAGAATGAAGTCATTGGTTTAGTGGTTTTGGTTTGAAGATAACTTTAATATACAACAGGATTATTGAATGTCACAAACTATTTATTATTTCTATTATTATTATTATTATTATTATTATTATTATTATTATTATTATTATTATTGTTATTATTTTAAATAGATTCATATAAATGGAACGTGACACTACCATTCTATCTACACAGTGCATTGGGGAACTCTGTTTTCTGCCAGAAGTACGTAGCTTCTCATTTATATCAGCCTCCACTAATTCTTTTTTCTTTCTTTCTTTCTTTTTTTTAATCTGGTCTACTTAATTATGTATTTATGTGTGTTAAGTTTTTTCGTCTTTCCTCTATGTGATGGATTACTAGCTCGAAAATATTTCTCTGCCATTGATTTTAACATTTGCTCCATTTCATTTCCCCTAATCACTATACAAAATCAACTTCACAACCTTACGGCAAAAAAACAAAAAAAAAGAAAAAAAATCCCTGTAAATTTCCATCCCCCTTTTGAAGGATAACCATTGCGTCCATAGGATCCTCCATCGCATACACCTCCATTGCGTTCTTACTACCTTGTACCCTCCATGGCGTATCTCTGCATTTCATGGTTTGTACAGAGGTCTCCACTGCATCTCTGGCCTCATGTTACCGTCAAGGGAAGGGAAGGTCCACATCGAGTGTTCACAGAATTTTTCACCATTGCGACCAAGGGCCCACATCTTCATTCGACACACCAAGATTCATCTCGTACATACACTTGACAATATCTGAGTCTAATCTCTGATACCACTTGTTAGGATTATGGACTCCACTATAAGAAATTGGGATTCCGACTCAAAAAGTTAACATAATGAGTGGAGTAACTCACTCTCTTATAAACCCATCATTTTATTGCCAATATGAAACTTTATTTGCACCTCTAACAATTCCTAATAAGATTTATATCTGCTTGTAAGCTGGTGCTTGGTCTGCAGTTTGAGCCGTAATTCAACATTTTTTAACTATAATTTTAAATTTATGTTCAAACTTATAAACTAAACGGCCATAAATCTTAATACGATATTATCAGTGACCCATCATGGGATGAGATCTTCAATCTTGAGAGTGGCCGGGAATCATGGTGGCTCGACGAGCATGATCATGACCATCACCCATCACTATCTGCAACTAGGATGATAGCAATGGTGATCACCTTTCTATTATTATTATTATTATTATTATTATTATTATTATTATTATTATTATTATTGTTATTATTTTAAATAGATTCATATAAATGGAACGTGACACTACCATTCTATCTACACAGTGCATTGGGGAACTCTGTTTTCTGCCAGAAGTACGTAGCTTCTCATTTATATCAGCCTCCACTAATTCTTTTTTCTTTCTTTCTTTCTTTTTTTTAATCTGGTCTACTTAATTATGTATTTATGTGTGTTAAGTTTTTTCGTCTTTCCTCTATGTGATGGATTACTAGCTCGAAAATATTTCTCTGCCATTGATTTTAACATTTGCTCCATTTCATTTCCCCTAATCACTATACAAAATCAACTTCACAACCTTACGGCAAAAAAACAAAAAAAAAGAAAAAAAATCCCTGTAAATTTCCATCCCCCTTTTGAAGGATAACCATTGCGTCCATAGGATCCTCCATCGCATACACCTCCATTGCGTTCTTACTACCTTGTACCCTCCATGGCGTATCTCTGCATTTCATGGTTTGTACAGAGGTCTCCACTGCATCTCTGGCCTCATGTTACCGTCAAGGGAAGGGAAGGTCCACATCGAGTGTTCACAGAATTTTTCACCATTGCGACCAAGGGCCCACATCTTCATTCGACACACCAAGATTCATCTCGTACATACACTTGACAATATCTGAGTCTAATCTCTGATACCACTTGTTAGGATTATGGACTCCACTATAAGAAATTGGGATTCCGACTCAAAAAGTTAACATAATGAGTGGAGTAACTCACTCTCTTATAAACCCATCATTTTATTGCCAATATGAAACTTTATTTGCACCTCTAACAATTCCTAATAAGATTTATATCTGCTTGTAAGCTGGTGCTTGGTCTGCAGTTTGAGCCGTAATTCAACATTTTTTAACTATAATTTTAAATTTATGTTCAAACTTATAAACTAAACGGCCATAAATCTTAATACGATATTATCAGTGACCCATCATGGGATGAGATCTTCAATCTTGAGAGTGGCCGGGAATCATGGTGGCTCGACGAGCATGATCATGACCATCACCCATCACTATCTGCAACTAGGATGATAGCAATGGTGATCACCTTTCTTGTGTAATTGAGGAACTTTAATTTGCAGCCTAAACCGAATTGTGGACCCTTTTTTCGGATTTTCAGTGGCTTTCCCTGTAAGGGCATCATTTTCATGATTGGTAAAAGCATATATTCACGTGAAAAGACAATACTCAAAGAATTCAGGGTTGTTCTTTTATATTTTTGAGTTAAGATAACTTGAGTGATAATTTTGAGTTAAGTTTGAGTTATAATTTGAGTTGAATTTGTAACTTAAATTTGTGTTTAGATGTGCACATTTGAATTGAGAATCTATTTGAGTTTGTATTTAGGTGTGTCAAAACTTAAATTTGTATTTAAATAGTATTTTAATAAAAACTCAATGGTGATGAAAAATTTTAATAGAGTATATAGGTGGGATTTTATTCGTCTTTTCGTTGTGAATGTATAGAAAAAAATATTATCTCAATCAGAATTAAAACGAAAAAATTATGACATTTTTAAGAATAAAAAAAATATTATTTATTAACTTAAGTTTGAGTTTATGAACTCGAGTTAAAGGAGAAATTTGAACTCGAGTTTAGCTCCAAACTCAAATTTAAACTTAAATTTTACAAAAGAACATAAACTTAAATAAAATTATAATTTGAATTTAAATTTTTTTAAATTTTATTACAAAAGAACAACCCTTCAAGCTTGTTCCCTTACCCACCCCACCTGGTCTCCTTAGCTTTGATTGCGGAGCTTATGACTACAAGTATGTTAACCAAACGCACACTTAGGCTTTCGTGTTGTTACAATGATGCTCATGCGTACACTATGGGAACTGATTCTTGGAAGGAGATCGAGATTGATGTACCAATCAAATACTGTAGAGCTTGTTTGGTTCATGGATTAGAATCATGAGATTAAAATCATTTTTGATTTACGTGTATTTTTTGTAAGAGAAAATACTGTAGCGAATCATGAATCATGATTCGAATCAGAGAACGAATCCTCCAACCAAACGGAGTAGTAGTGATTGTCACAAGGGTGTGATCGTTTCGTCTGATATGCGCAACGAGGAATTTAAGATCATACCATTGCTGGATGTCCAACTTTTCGTCAGTGATGGGAAGGGCCAAGAGCCTCGCGGCGAGAAAAACATGGTTCTAAACATCTTTTGAAATGTGGGTGGTTGGCAACTTTTGATAATTGTTGAAGCCTACTTTTCTTCTGGCATTTTGGAAGGAAGACGAGCTGTTAACGGAATCTAAGGGACGGTGTATGTTTGGAAATGATTTTTGAAGCCTAAAATTAATTCTTTAGCTATACACTGTTAAAATTTATGTTTGTTAAAAATCATAAAAAGTAAATTTTAAAGAATTTACGGTCAAAATTATAAACAGTCTAAAGACAATTTTATCTTTTAAATTATATGACAATCACATTAAAGTACAATTAATAAAATTTTCATAATATTCATAATACCTCTAAAATTAATACTTATATAATTACAGTTTACTAAATACTCAATTACTTTTTTTAACCGCTGTTTTTTTAACACAATTAACATGAATTTTTTTAAAATCTACAACACTACCAAACTGATCCTTACTGCTTTTACAAACGTATGCACCTAAAATAGTGCTTTTACAAACGTATGCACCTAAAACCTTGTGACTTAGAAGACTTCTTTTGTGTTATTGGGTTCCGTGCTAAAAGATTAACCGAGCAATTGAAGGGTCCGTTTAATTCGTTGATTCGAGTTTTTAATTCGAGTTGAGATGTGATTTTATGTGAGAACTTTTTACTGTAATAAAAGAGTTTAATATGACTGTTTCTAAAAGTTTTTTTACTGTAGTAAAACTCAAATTATAAACTTAAATCAGTGAAATAAACGATGTCAAAGTCTTTTTAAACCCATTCTCAATTTCGTATCCAGTCAAAGTGGGACTTTATTCACACATTTCTAACACTTTCTTTTCCCAAGGCAATGTTCTCGGGAAAGTTTTGTGCTGATTTTTGTTTGAAGAGTCCAATTTCGGTCAAAAAAGGAAACCTTGCTCAACTGCTAATGGATGTCTATGGTTTGCATGACTAATTGACAGATATGATATGTACATTGTCTACTAAGATGTCGTATTCTTTTTTTTTTCCTACCTAGAGTTAAAAGTGACTTTCAAACATCATTTTTAGTTTGCTATCCACATTTTAGTTCATCTTATCTTATCTATTACTAAAAAGACACGGGTTTTTTATCCGAATAAGTTTCAATTCCCAATAGTAAAATCAAAATAAGAGCTCGTTTATTTTGTATATTCATATTAAAATTATTAATTCTATTATAGTATTTTTTTTTATAAAAAAATTTAAAATTTAAACATAAAAATTAAGAATTATAATTTAAATATATTTTCTAAACAGGCCTAAAAGTTTGTGAAGAAAGATAATGCAAACACTCATATATACACTTATATGACGAATCTGTTCAAATATAAATCTTTAATCATGGAACTCTCCACAAAAGCAGATTTCAGCCCCAGTGATTCCCAGGGATTGAATCGATGGCATTTGAAACACACTCGTCAGCAAAAGCATTTGGACTCTGCCCATTTGAGAAGGAAAATTAGTACCTAAAATTGCAATTCAAAGCTCTGGTTTCTCCCGTTTTATAAGCAATTATGATGCTTAGGATTATCTGCAAAAAAAAAAAAAAAAAAAAAAAATGAAGAAGAAGAAGAAGAGAGAGAGAGAGACCTTGGTAATTACAAGAGATCATCTTACCTGACGAAATTGTTTTAAGCGTTGTCCAATTCAATCGAGAAAAACATTCTGCTGCAAAAATTAAGTTCCTTTTGCAAACAGAGACATACAATTTACACATTAATGCAATAAATTCACCTTTGATCAATGGAGCTAAAAATCTGCAATTGTAACCTTCAAAAAACAATAAGATTATATAAAGAGAACTTACTATCAAAATGACATGTTCTGAAATGTTCTTCATAATTTCCACCGTTTATCATCACCATCATCATAGATCTAACATGTGAATTGGAGATAGAGATGTAGCCAAAGACAACTTGCCGATGCATAGTTTCATGCAAAATCCAATTGTGGAAGTGCAATGGATCAAAATATAGGAGAAAAAACATTGTGGAAATTTAGACACATTTTTATTTAGCTTCTCATATATATGTATATTACCGGCAAGTCATCCTTGGCTGCAACACAATACCTTCCAATTCCCATGCAAGATCTAAAATGAACGTCTTCAAAAGAAATTACCATCCAAACTCAAGAAAGGAATCAAGCACCAATTTACAAGAGAGAGAGAAAGGAAGAAACATCAAAATTTCCTATATGATCCTCAATAATGGTTTTGAAAAGGTGGACACTGAGAAAATGGCTTGAGCTAAGAGAGAAGTTATATAACAAAAGAAGAGTCACATGGGGAATTCAGCTTTGTACTGCAACAAGTTGCAAAATGCGTCCGAAAGTAAAACTATTCATGTTTTGGCTTCCAGAGACTGCACGTAATCTGTTGCATTGCAATCATAGGACTACTATTATAGAAATTGGTTAACAATATATTTACCAATGGCATAAAAGACAAGGAATAGAAAGGAATTATGGGATTGGATGTGACAATCGGTGTAGGTCTCGCAAACCAATGCAAAATCGAATAAAAAAGATTTGTTACATCACCTATAAGGTTAGATTAGGATGTACCCTTTTCTTATTTTTCCCCTCTCAACAACTTTTTAAAATCATACGTTAATTTTCTGTTTTGATTTACCTAAATATATGGCACATTTTAATTTTACAACTCATTAACTGACGCTCATTGGAAGGAAAATCTTATCGTTTAGTTAGGATAAGGGATTCAATTTCAACGATTCAAAAAAAAAGAAAAAAAAATGGGGGCAGAAAATTTCAAAAGCAACAAAAGAGAGTCGGCAGAAGAGACATTAGTTTGTTCAAAAGTGACATTGTGATGCAATTGGGAATGGAGAAACTCTCTAGAATCTTGAAAATGGTTATGGGGCTGACATGGGTTGGTAATGGAAAGTGGTCGTGGCTGTTTTGCTTTGCAGCAAATATGACCAACCAACCCCTGATGGCTGATAATTGAGCAGAGAATTCTGACCTCAGCCATACCTTCTCTCTTGCCCATTTTGAGGTACGAGTACAAATCCCCCATTAGCTCTTTCTTTCTCACTTTCAGTTTAGGCCATACCCCTATTGCCTATTTTCTCTAAGAGCAATGTATTCGTACTAATGGGATTAAGAAGACGTTTGGTTCATAGATTAAAATTATGTGCTTAGAATTATTTTTGATTTACGTGTATTTTTATGAGAAAAAATACTGTAACGAACCACGAACTATGATTCAAATCAGGTAACGAATCCTCCAACTAAACAAACAGTAAATCTCTATTTTCTCATAAAAAGTAGACCCCACAAATTAATCCCACATTAATAATATATTAAAAAGGAGGAGTTGTTCATTGTTTATCCACACTCAGTTTATTGTTCATAATACAGTGTAGTGACGATTTTATCCTTTTTTCTTCATTCCTTCCGTTTCTGGGCACGGGGCTGTTTAGTCTTCTTACACGATGGGCTGTGGTTGTATTGTTTTGTAAATTTTGGGTTTGTTTAGTTAGCTGATTCGAGTTTTTAATTCGAATTGAGATGTGATTTTATGTGAGAGCTTTTTACTGTAGCAAGTGACTGTTTTTGAGAACTTTACTGTAAAAAAACTCAAATTTTAAACTCGAATCGGTGAAATAAACGAGTCTCTATAAGTGAGGATCACTCTTTATGAGAGAGTGGGGGGTAATATCCGCTTCCGGTTCTACAACAAAATAACTTGGCTTAATGGTTGTTATTTTTATTTTTAATTTTTTTCAAGTAATAATGATCTTATTATTTGATGCTGATATATCTACTAGTGCACCATATACTATTTTATACATTGCATTTGAAGTTTATGTATGTACACCGTATGTTAATTTATAAAATAAAATAAAATAAAAAAACTGACTGCAAAGAGTAACTAATTAATGTTTGATTGGAAGTATATCGATAAGGTGCAAAAGGTAATTCCTTCAACTGAGATTTCAAAATCAATTGTTGAATAAGTGAAGATACAAGTTTGACATGAATTTAAATATCATTAAAAGAAACACTTAAGAATTCTTCT